GCCGTAGTAACCGGATTCAAGGCCCCCTTGGCAGCGCTGGTCGGCGCAGGAGACGTACTTGAGGGTTGTGGAGGAGAGCTTGCTGAAGGGCTTGCTGCTGGCCGTCTGAGGGGCGAGGGGGAGGGCGTGGGAGAGAAAGAGGGAGATGACATGAACAGGGGGTGAGGATTAAGGAAAGGACATGAAGAGCGGGCGGAGGAAGCAAAAGGGGTCATGGCTCTGACTCGATCGCAACCCGCAGAGCAAGACAAGCACAACGGAACAAAGGAGAACCTCCACGGAATGACACTCATGGACAAAAGGACCAGCTTGATTTGAACCTCCTCTCAGTGATACTCTCAACTCCTCCTCACACTCTCGCTCTCTTACACTCTCACATTCTCACTCATTCACTCTCCTCCTCACTCTCATTCTAACTCCTCACTCCTCCACTCCTCGACCGCCACCCTGTTTCCCCCATCGCACTCCCCCCCGGCGTGGAAGGATGGGTGGGTGGGTGGGCGGACGACGGAGCCCCACGCACCCCCCTGCGCGAGGTGCCGCAGTGCAGACAGTCACAGGGCACGAAGGTATGGGGCGCAATGAGGTTGAGCGCCATGCTGAACTTCTGCTTCTGCGACCCCAGCTTGAGATTCACGTAGTACGGATACACGCTGGTGGGGGGAAGACAGAGATGTGCGCGATGGTGCGGGGGGAAGGAGGGGTGGGGGGAGAAAGGGGAGGTCACAGAGGAGGAACTGGGACCGTGCGCCTATTGTGAAGGGCTGGGGTAGGGGGCGATGGTTGATCGAGAGAGGGGTGCAAGAGAGTTGCTGAGGGCGTTGTGAGAGTGTATTTGAGAGTATGTGAGTGGGAGTGGCATGCAGCGAGTGGCATGCAGCGAGTGGCATGCAGCGAGTGAAAGATTGGCAGTTCACCCCTAACTGCGTGGCGCGGAGCATACGGGAGGGAGATTATCATGTCATCGTAGCCGATCCATCTGTAGTTGACCATGGTGTTGCCCAGGGTGCCGTTGGCCGTGGCGAGCAGCGAGTTGTTGTAGTCCAGCAGTGGCGTAGGATACCCCATTGTCTGCACGCAAGCAGTGATGCACGCAAGCAGTGATGCACGCAAGCAGTGATGCACGCAAGCAGTGATGCACGCAAGCAGTGATGCACGCACGCAGTGATGCACGCAAGCAGGGATGCACGCAAGCAGGGATGCACGCAAGCAGGGATGCACGCAAGCAGGGATGCACGCAAGCAGTGATGCACGCAAGCATCAAGCAAGCATGTAGGTGGGACGGACATTTTGAGCGATGGATTTCCGAGGTGGCAACAACGGCAAAGAAATCTCCCCGTTGTCTGCACGCAAGCAACGAGGCAGACTAGCCGCACAGGCAGGTGGGAGGTTCGCTATGCGGCAACATACAACAAGGTATAAGAAAGCTGACTCACATCCGAACCCCTGCTTGTCTCTCCCCTGCCCCTCAAGCCGCCCCCCACGCCCTGCGCATGCCACGGGATTGTGAAATGGAAGGAAGAAGCAAGCCATGAGGAGACTCACGTGGGTGCAATCTCAACCGCAAAGACACACAATGCAGCGAAGTCACGGCAGCGGCTGATCATAGCTGTCTACTCAGTGCTATGCAGCGGCTTCACAAGCAATTTCCTGCACAAGCAAGCAGCAACGCCCAGTTTTGCGTCTCAAGTGTTTCGTAATTGACAGGTCAAAGAAACGCCCTGCTTGCGGCGGCCCCTCCCCCGCTCACTCTGGACCCGAGAATGCGGCGGTGTATCTCGTCCCTGCTGGGGGCGTCTTCCGCGCGCTGCAGGGGGAAGAAGTGCGCGCCCGCTTCCGCTGATCGCCGCTTCCACTCCGCAATCGATTCCGCAGCGCCGCTCCCCGCGCCCGTCGTGCTGGCCGCCCCCCCTCCGCCGCTCCTGCTGGCGGAGGCATCATGCTGGCGCCATTCGCCGGGTGCTCCGACCTGTGATTTCGCGTGAGAGCGAGGGGGGTGGGGGGGAGAGACGGGAGAGGGAGAGGGAGAGGGTGAGGGAGAGGGAGAGGGAGAGAGAGAGGGAGAGGGAGAGGGAGAGGGAGAGGGAGAGGGAGAGGGAGAGGGAGAGGGAGAGGGAGAGGGAGAGAGGGAGAGAGACCTGACAATGTGCGTAATCCCAGGGTTCCTCGCGCCGTTTGATTAAGAACATCTACTTAGTGCCACATGCGGCGTCCCAGGACGTGAGCCACCAACCCAGGATGCTAGTACCAGCATCGGCTTGGCTCGTGTGATTACAACTTGTACCTCGGGAGACTGCGAGTCGAGCTGCCGATGAGAATGATTTGCGGCATCCCCGGCAAGGCTGCTCAGGGGCTGTTGAACGTCCGCAACGGCTATCTCGGGGCCGTGGCGCGCCTGGATCCGCAAGACGCTGAGGGAGAGAAGCAGGAGGGACACGAGCAGACGCGGAGAGGCGCCACGGCACGAGAAATCCATTGCCAGCCACGGGAGAGGGGTTTGCGTTCAAAGCCAGAAGTTCTGCGAGCTCCACAACCGCACAGTGCAATGCGATGACTCATCGGAGCGAAGATGCTGGTTCTAACACTACTTCCACGGTGGAGGCTTCGGTCTGGCTGTGACATCGGGGGACCCGGCCACCGATGGAGCACGGCTTACGAGTGGTTGGTGCGCTGGTAGGACGTAGTCTCGTCTCCAACCCTAACAGCCCATCATACTGCCGAGTCGCGCCCCTCTGCTCTGCTTTGAGTTTTCAGACGGAATGTGTGGGAAAGTCAAAGGGTAGAGCTTTTCCCCAAATTCGTAGCTGACTTCCTCAATGCAGGTCGACGGGTTTTGCCTCGTAAGTAATTTCGTGTTTTGCCTCGTCAGTATTTTCGTGTTTTGCCTCGTCAGTATTTTCGTGTTTTGCCTCGTAATTCCCAACAAACAAGGGCGCTGTTCATTTGGCAATAGTTTGCCAAAAACGGCCATCTTAGAACATTTTAAGAGTATCAGAAGAACGCTGATCAAGGTTCGGTTATAAGCGCATCTATTCCGAATCTGAATGCACCAGTTGATCCGCGTATGACAGCAGAACAGAACCTTTTTAATGCATTTAAAAAATAACAAAAAAAAAAACGAGTTGAAACTCCACGTTGCTTCCTCGCCTAAGGGAATTTGGTCGCACATCTTGTGCGTACCAATTCAGGCCTTGCTCGACTGGTGCATCAGCCCGCACGGCCAGAGGCTCGGGGATGGTGCTCACATCGAGAAATGGAGGCTTGGGTTTCGGGATTGACATTCAAAAGGTCGTGGGTTTCGCGGAAGCCATACAGCGCGTTCACGACGTCTTCGCCCAACATCTGTTTCCAACTGACCAATGATGCCCTGGTGCGAGCCCGGTAGCTGCAAAAAAAAACTTCAATGGGAAACTCGAATTTCACATGCAGAAATATTGGCGTTGGGATGCGTTTGATTTCTGACAGCAGACAGTGGGCTCATAAGGGCGCTGAAGGTTTTTTACGGCGGGCGTGATTCAGCTGCCCCGCACCAGCTGTTGCGCGCATCAGTGACGCGCCAGATTGCTAGGAGATGAAATTTCGCGGAACGCGGCGACATTTCATAAAACGGGGGTAAAAAATACTGTTCGGCAGTCATCTGCAGACATTGAGATTTGGTAGCCGTGCGCTTATTACAGGCCTCGATGACCAGGTTATCAAGGAAGGTTCGAGGGTGGTCACTTTCTTGTAGCCATGTGTGCTGATGCGCCAGCCGAACAAGGCCTAAGCCTTTTTAGGGAGCATGGGCCTCCGCACCAGCTATGTGGGGTTGAATAAAGACGGTGATTTGGCGGTTTTTTTATACGCTAAACATCTCTTCGAGCCGCAAGTGAATAAGATGTCAGAAACAGTAGCTAGAAAGTTAGAACAAGAAAGAGGGTTTTCACTAGCAACAGTTGGGATACAAATAGGAAACCCTAATTGGGTTGTACTCACTACAGAGTACCCCACTGCAGACTAGACAGCAAACACATTCTGACACACCCCCATAGTCAAAGTGGGGTATAATCAGCACAGCAAGCAGTCATAGAGCAGGTTCACAAGTACAAGCAAAGCTAGAGGCATTCACAAAGGGCAAGTGAGGAGGAGGAGGCGGGACTGTGAGAGGAGAGGAGATAGGAGGCGACGGCTGAAGCTGCAGACACACGGGCAACAGGAGCGGCGCGCACGGTGGCTACCGGAGCAAAGGGCCCCGGACTACAGGAGTAACTGGCTCTGCGGCTAACTCTGAGCGGCAGGAGCAACGGACCCACGGGCGACTGACGCAGCAGGCTCGCTGGGCTACCGGAGCAGAGCCCCGGACTACTGGCGCTGCTGACGACACGACGGCAGCCTCCGCTCAACCTCCCCCAACTGTCCCACCCCCCTTTCACACACCCATTGCTGCACCCCTAGGTCCACTCCCACGTCACCCCCCTAACGCCACTCCCTCGGCTCCCACACACCCACCCCCCTCAGCGGCAGCTGCAGCAGTGGGAGACGGAGGAGGAGGAGGAGCAGGGGACGGCTCACACACCCGCTACCCCCATACCCGCCACCCCCATACCCCCAACGCAGGTCAGAAACGCGGGCAGCAGCTGGGGCAGCGTGTGAGCGGAAGCGGGGCGGCGCGACGGGCGACGGGAGGGGCGACGCGCGGCCCCCCAGGGCGCCGCGACGGGCGACGGGAGGGGGGGCGCGCGGGCCCCCAGGGAGCCACGACGGGCGACGGGAGGAGGGGGGCGACGCACTGGCCCCCAGGGCGCCGCGACGGGCGACGGGCAGGGCGACGCGCGGCCCCCCAGGGCGCCGCGACGGGCGACGGGCAGGGCGGCGCGCGGGCCCCCAGGGAGCCGCGACGGGCGACGGGAGGGGGGGCGACACGCGGTCCCCCAGGGCTCCGCGACGGGCTGCCGCGCGCCCCGGGGCGCACGGCGGGCAGAAAACCGCCATACGCCCCGAGCGCGTGGCGGGAAGAAAAAACGTCACGCGCCACGGGGCGCGCGACAGACAGGACAGCAGCGGAAGCAAGTGGGCCCACAGGCCAGGAGCGTAGTCGCTCTGATAGCATGTCAGAAACAATAGCTAGAAAGTTAGAACAAGAAAGAGGGTTTTCACTAGCAACAATTGGGATACAAATAGGAAACCCTAATTGGGTTGTACTCACTACAGAGTACCCCACTGCAGACTAGACAGCAAACACATTCTGACATAAGACACGCCCCAAGGACGTTGTGCAGAATCCCTTGCTGGGTTTTGAAGCTTCCATGCACTCGAGACCCGCTGAACGGCAAGAATCGCTTTGGCTCGCCCGAGCGCGTGCCAACTTGGAGCGGTGCACCGCTCTTACCCGACGTGTGCCAACGCGCACCAGGGAGTGCAGTGACATGATCCAGGCTGACCCGATCCAATCCAATCTGGCTGGATCTTCACACGTCCTGAGGACGTGTCTCAGACCGCCTCTGATCGGCTCTGATCTGGTCGGGTCGGGTCTGATCGGGTTGCTTGTGATTGCATTGCTCGCGCCACCCGATCAGTACTGATAATCCTTGAAATTTCAAAGCGCCTGCCAAGTAAGCGAGTCAACATTTCCTGATGTTTTCGTACCAACTTTGGCGAGAGCGAAGAGCCTAGCGAATTTCTTGTTTCCATGTAATATCGCAGAGAGCGCTTTAAAGGATGCATGCACGACAGCTTAATGATCTTAGCAGGATACTGTATTTTTTTTGTGGGCATCGCCTGAATACCCAATCCCATGCAATCAATTGATCGTGACTGATTTTGTATGTGATTGTGATTGATTGGGCTGATTGAGGCGGTTGATCGAGTTGGGGCGATCAACTGATCGCGATCAACTGATTGCCCCCGATTGCATGAAATTGGCTTCCTGGCTTCCAGGAAGTTGTTGATCGCCTCTGATCCGGGCGATCAGAGGCGGTCTGAGACACGTCCTTTTTTTGGTGTTCGTTTTTGACAAGCGCGAGAGCTTGTCCAGGAGGCTCCGCCTAGGCATGGAGAAGTCTCCTTGTAAAATTCTCTCACCTGAGTCGCGCACATTGGCACGCGCTGGTACGTGACATCCCGTGCCAGCACGGAGCGGTGCACTAGGTTTTGCCCGTTTCTGCTGCACCACTAGGGTTTCGGGTGCGCGGAAAGACTACCGGTGGGGTTTCCCCTTGTCAACTGGGTGGTTCCACGCTGACGGAAACAAAGAGCGCGGGGCAGGACTTTGCACTACAAATCAGATGAACACAACCTCCAAACCAGAGCCTGGTTCGGTGGTGGTTGGTATGCTCCAAACCAGACCCAAACCTGAGATGGGAAATGATCAAACTGGGGCCTCGTCTGTCGCAACCTGTCGCTAACCAATTTCGGGGGCCAAGATAATTCGCATGCAGAACATGCATGTGCCCCTTTACTAGGGGTGCGATACACAAGGCCCCTGTTTTGGCTACTTTCCTGGCCCCTCGATTATCGTTGATTGAGGCGCTGCAACTTCCAGTCCGTCCATCCATCGCAGGCCTAGTTTCCATACAGCGCAAGCGTCGCATCGCACCTTTTCGAATTAAACGCACAGGCTGGCTCGGAAGGAACGAGTCTCCATGTGTGCCCGACCAGCGGCCAGCTTAGGAGTAGGTCGTGCGGCTACATCTGTGCCGAGTCTCCTGCGAGCCAGACCTGAATTTACGTCACGAAAGCATCGACTACGCTGCCTCATCGCACCAACATTTCTCTCGTACGTTTGCATTCCCTTCCGTGACCTTTGCAAACCCTCTATGCGGCTAGTAATATTACCATGGCTTTCTCGTGGCGTGGCGCCTCTCCGCGTCTGCTCGTGTCGCTTCTGCTCCTCTCCCTCAGTGTCTTGCAAATACATGCGCGCCACGGCCAGATAGCCGTTGCGGGCGTTCCGCATGATTCGATGAGCAGTCCCGCTGGGGATGCCGTTGATTCTCATCAAGGACAGTTCCTCTCGCAGTCACCCGAGGTGTAGTACTAGTAGTGGCTGCATTACACGAGGCGCAGGCATCTCGCTGGTAGCAGTGGTTTGTGAGCATTGCTCGCATGGTGACACTCCCTCCCACCTTCTCTTTCTTCTCCCTACTTGCCCCCCCCTCGCTCTCATCGCGAATCCCATCATAGGTCGGGGCATCTGGAGGACGCAGGCATGATGACTTCTCCGCTAGCAGCAGCGGCGGAGGGGGGGCGGCCAGCACGACGGGCGCGGGGATCGGCGGCGGCGCGGAGTCGATTGCGGAGTGGAAGCGGCGATCAGCGGAAGCGGGCGCGCACTTCTTCCCCCTGCAGCGCGCGGAAGACGCCCCCAGCAGGGACGAGCTGCACCGCCAGATTCTTGCACTCTCTGTGAGTGCATCCAAAAATCTGGAGGGACGTATACTATGTTCTAACATAATTAGCAGCATTGTAAATGGTATGTCTGTATCATATATATATATATATATATATATAAATATACATATATGATGGAGTGGAGGGTGCCGGGAGCAGAGCCCTATCAACGTCGATATGCCTCCCTCTACGCCGCTGCATGGCCGCCGTCGGCAGTATGATTAGCCGCTGCCATTTTGCTGCATCATAGTGTGTCTTTTGCGATTGAGATGAGCCCAAGTTCCTCCTCATGCCATTTTTCGAGTGTAGTAGTATCAATCTCATAACCTGGGCTTTAAATCGTACAATGCATCATGTGAGTAACCGTGTAGTCCTGTCGTCCTGTGGGCTTTTGGGAACTGTGTCTGGACGAACAGTGTCGTCCCGAATGAAATCCACCAGAAGTTTCATCCACCCCGTGAAGTCCGACCCAAAAGAGACCCGGGGGGGCTCATCCGGGTCTGTTTCGGGTCGAACCCTTTTGGAGCAGTGGCCTGATGCCTCCTTCTCCCCCACAAATCCGTGACATGCGCAGGGCGGCGTGGGGGGCGGCTTGAAGGGCGAAGGAGAGTCAGCCAGGGTAGCAAATGTGAGTCAGCGCTCACAGGACGGTGCTGCCGCTGCTGCTATTTTACCCGACTAGTAGTGTGACCTCAGGCAGTTGTTCGTGGAACGGTGGCAAGTGAGGTGGCAAGTGACAGGTGGCAAGTGACAGGTGGCAAGTGACAGGTGGCAGGTGACATTTGTCCATGCTGCGCTGCATTCGCCCGTTCTCAGGCACTGACTTCAACTCAGATAACGATTTGTTACACGAAACCACAAGAGCTCTCTGTGCGACCCATCAATCTGGCGCACTAGCCTTTCCCGCTTGTGATATCTTGAAAACCTCCCACCTGCCTCTGCCTCTTGAAGCCTGTCACGTCTCTCTGTCCTGATCGTTTCTGCATCCATCTGTGGATCGTTTTTCCTACCTTGCTTGCAGTCAAGGGGGGTATCCTTTGCCATTGTTTTATTGGGCTCCTCCAAAATCGTCTCGTATCACTTGGGCTCTCCTACCTGGTTGCTTTCTTGCAGGAAACGGGGTATCTTCTGCCGCTGCTGGAGTATAACAGCACGCTGGTCTCAACGGCCAACGGCACAATGGGCAACACCATGGTCAACTACAGCACCTACCTCGATGACAACAAGATCCGCCTCCCGTAGGTTCCGCTATGTTCCTCTCGCTGCATGCCCCACTCGCTGCATCCCTTCGACCTCCCTCCTCTGTGCCCTTTCACCCCTTTTTGCCCTTCCTCCCCGCAACCCCCCTCCTCCAACCACCATCGCATGCCTGCCCCCACCAGCGTGTATCCGTACTACGTGAATCTCAAGCTGGGGTCGCAGAAGCAGAAGTTCAGCATGGCGCTCAACCTCATTGTGCCGCACATCTTCGTGCCCTGCGACTGCCTGCACTGCGGCTCCATGCGCAAGGGGGTGAGTGGGGTTCCGCCCTCCGCCCTCCGCCCACCCGCGCACGCCCAGGGGGGAATGCGAGGGTAAAAGAGGGTGGAGATATGGGAGTGGGGAAGTGCAGTGAGAGTAAGAATGAGAGTGAAGGAGAATGAATTAGTGAGATTGACGATAGTGAGTACGAGAGGGAGCGAGTGTGAGAAGCGGAGTGGGTCAGTGTGTGGAGGGTCGCAATCGAGTCCCAAACTGTTCCTTCCCTCTTTTGCTTACCCCTTGTGCTTACCCCCATGTGTTTACCCCCTACTGCTTACCCACTCTCCTTGTGCTTACCCCCCCTTCTGCATTTCCTTTTCCGTTAACAGCACATAACTAATTCCTCCTTCAGCCTCAGTTCCCCTCCCCTCAAGTCCCCACTCATCATCCCATCCCCTTCCCCACTCCCGCCACAGCTCTTTCTGGCCCCTCTCCCTCTCCCTCTCTCGCTCTCCCTCTCCCTCTCCCTCTCTCGCTCTCCCTCTCCCTCTCCCTCTCCCTCTCCCTCTCCCTCTCCCTCTCCCTCTCCCTCTCTATCTCCCTCTCCCTCTCCCTCTCCCTCTCCCTCTCCCTCTCCCTCTCCCTCTCCCTCTACCTCTCCCTCTCCCTCTACCTCTCCCTCTCCCTCTCCCTCTCCCTCTCCCTCTCCCTCTCCCTCTCCCTCTTCATCCCACTCTCCTTCTCAATCCCTCTCTCACTCGTCCTTTCCCTCACCCTCGCCTTGCAGACCACCTACAGCAAGCCCTTCAGCACGCTCTCCTCAACAACCCTCAAGTACATCTCCTGCAGCGACCAGCGCTGCCAGGGGGGCGTTGAATCCGGTTTCTACGGCTGCAACACGGAAGGGTTCAACAACTACCTCAACCTCACAGGCCTGCTGCCTGGGAACGACGCTTTCTGCGTGTACAGAGCGCAGTCAGGATCCTATGATTATTATGAAGCGGACTATGAAGCAGGATCGTACATCACGTCACTGGGGCATGTGGTGGAGGACACGGTCTATCTCACTGCACCTGACGGAACCGAAGTCAACCGATCCATCATTCTTGGGTGAGTGTCTCCTTGTCATTACCAGTACTCCCTCAAGTTATCTCAAAATTCTCACCTCTCCCTTGGTGCTCTCCCTCACTCTCCTGCTCTCTGCCGGCCCCCATTACCCCCCCAGCTGTGGAATGAACCAGCAAGGACACTGGGGCATGCAGGGGTGGCAGTACGGCTCGTGGTCAGCAGGAGGCGTGCTGGGGCTGGGGTGGAACAGCACCTTCCTCTGGCAGCTCGCCGGGGGGAATAGCTCCTTCGCGGTGTGTTTGGAGGAGCCGGCGCCGACGAACAAGACAGGGTGGGATGGCAAGGTGCCGCTGCAGACAGGCAGCAGCCATCTCACCATCGGAGCCACCGGCCTCCCTGCCGGCGCCAGCTACGCCACCTTGTAATGATAACCATCCTGCTGCTGCTGCTCCACGCCCTCCCTTGCTCTCTTTCTCTCCCTGCCGGCGCCAGCTACTCGCGCATGCGAGTCAGTCCTGCTGCACGACGCCCCCTCCCTTGCTCTCCTTCGCTCCCTTCACGCGCCGCCTACGCCACCATGTTATCCCCCTGTGCACTCTCGCCCTCCTACGCCCTCTCACGCTCCATCCACCCACCTGTCCGTTTGTCCCTCCGTCCGTCTGTCCATCCATCCACCCACCCACCCTCCCACCCACCCACCTCATGCGTGTTACCCATGTGCAATCCCCCCACCCAGGGATTATTGGGCCGGAATGCAGTACAGCCACATCACTCTCACCACGGCCAAGCGCGCCCTCAACATCACAGACGACCCAGCCTACATAGACACCAATAGTGTGCCCTACGTGCCGGCGAATTTCCCTGAGAACGCCACTCCGGGCTTTCTCTTCATGCCCGAGTCCTTCGTGCATCTCCTGCGCTACCCTCTCTTCATGAGCCTCTGCGACGCGGTACGTTCTCCTCAGCCTGTGCCTGTCTGTCTGCATGTCTGGAAGCCTGGCCAAGCCGAACTTTCGAGTGAAACTGGCACTATTTTTGCTGCTTCTATGTGTTCCTTGTTGTGAGCTGTCTTGCGCTGCTAGGAATGGTATGCTCTCGCTCTGTTCGAATTTTAAGAGCTCTCTGCATAAGAGAACCAGTTTTGGAGTTGACTCGAAAGAGACGTAGCCACATGTGTGAGAAAGCCAAAGCACAAGCCATCCAGAAATGGACGGACTTGTTCCGTGCTGGTCGGACCACGGAGCCTGGTGACATCATTGTCATGGTGTCTTACATTTAGTTAAGTGGCCTGGATTCAGGCTTAGCAGGTTCGGACTTGGTTGACTGTAGTGCAACAGGTCTTTTTTTCTCCTTGTGAGGTGAGAGCTTCGCTGTCAGGTTCCTCATGTGCCGGGTTCCTCATGTGCCGGGTTCCTCATGCACGGATCCAATTCTCGTTGTATCCTCTTATGCATTGCATGTGCATTTACGTCTGTGTGTGCATGTGCATGTGCATGTGCGTGTTTACGTCTGTGTGCGCATGTGCGTGTGCATGTGCATGTGCGTGTGCATGTGCATGTGCGTGTGCATGTGCATGTGCGTAATCAAGTGCGTGTTCATCATGTGTACGTGAATGTGCATGTGCATGTGCGTGTGCGCGTACATGTGCGTGTGCGTGTGCGTGTGAGTGTGCGTGTGCGTGTGCACATTTTCAGCTCCAAGACATGACAGGGAACAAGTTTTCCGCTGCTGCTAATAGTAGCTTTTTACCATCAATCCATTGAGCTGAGAGTGCATCTTTCCGTTCCTGTCAATCTCTCCGCTCCTGTGAATCCTTCCATGTGCCACCTCCGTGCACAACCTTCCCCACCATCGACATTGCTTTCCTCAATCTTAGCGACACCAGCGCCCATGCCCACTTCTATCTCAAGCCTCACGAGTACCTCGCCCAGGTATAGCACGCATGCTTGTCATTCATTCATTCATAGGCTCCTTGCATCGCACTCTCAGTCACCGGCCCTTTTATCACAGAAAGGTCGTCTATTACAGAAACCTTCTATCGCCAGTCTTGACCTCCATAGATTTCAGTTCATCCAATCGGATGCCAGGGCAGGACGAACATGGATAGAGATCATGTTTCAGCTCCCACCCACATGCTCTCCCCTCTCCCCTCTCCCCTCTCCCCTCCCCTCTCCGCTGCCCTCTCCCTGCCCTCTCCCTTTCCTTTCTCGTCTTGACTACCCTCTCTTCCCTCTCGTCTCTTCTCTCCCTTTTCCCCTCCTCTCAACGCACATCCACTCGATCGGCTCATTCCTGTGCTCTCTCCATGCTCCACTCTTCCGTTCCGTGCCATCTAAGCCCCTCCTGGCCCTTCTTTTCAGAGCCTTTGGATGAGCTCGCTGAGTGCCTGTCGCTTGGGCAAGTGTCGACCCCCACGTGCCACACATCAACGCCCTTCCCCACTCCCATGCTCCCCCCACAGGTTGCGGCTTCTGAATATTGCGTCTTGGCCACCTGGATTTTTTCCGATCAAAACTATGTCAGCCAGATTGGAGGTACGAGGGTACCTACCGCACAACTGGGTTACCTACCGCACATTTGCACTCCTTTCTCTACCTAAGATTCCACCAGCAATATCTGTGTCTATTTCAAGAATTATCCGCAGTAACATGAGCTTCTGCCAGCTCCCTTCCTTCCCCTTTCCGCTGTGCCATGCCGTGCTGCCCATCCGCTGCTATCCACCACCCACTCCTCACAATAACCATTCCATCCGCCTACCAGCCCATGCAAGCTGAGAACTTGGCCAAGCAAGGATCTCGCCGATGAACGTTACTTTTTGGAATTCTGTGACCAACTTTACCCTGCGCCCCGCAAGCAGGAGGGCGGATAGGCATTCATATTTTTGTTGCCCTTTGCCCTTGCCCGTCCCTCTTCCCTGCCACCAACACACCACTCCCTTTTCTCACTGCCTCCACTGCTGTGGGTGCATGTGGCGATGAGCAGAGCCGGGGCTGGTCCACAAGAGGGAGCGCACAAGCGGGAGCCCAGATGGGCTTTTATAATTTCCTTGCCCTTCGCCCCTGCCTGCCCTTCCCACTTCCCTTGTCCCCCTGCCCTCCACTCTGGGCGCATGTTGCGATGATGAGCAGAGCCGGGGCTGCTCGGCAAGTACCTCTTTCTCGACTACACCAACGAGATCGCAGGATGGATGGACGCCCCTCACTGTAAGCGGTTGCTCACCCTGCCCACAACGCCTGCCTTCCCCTTCCATCTCTCCAGCACACGCACCCACCCCTTGTCCCTTCCGTCTTTCTTACTTTGTCGTGTAAATTTCTCTGCACTGATTTTTTTGGACATCCTCTCTCCTCCACTTGCTGTCGCTGTGGCTTTAAAGCAGTCAAATCGCTCACTTGCAACAGGGATACACAAAAAAATTATGTCCACGCAAAAGAAAAGTACCCAAAATTATGTGCAGTGCACAGGAGCTTGCCCATTGTCTGCATGCTGCCCCCTTTCCTTTCGACCCATGCTTGTTATCTTCTGCTGTGTACTTCTTTCTCGAACTTCCCTCACTTGCCTCACACCCCTTTCTGACGCTTCCCTCCTCTCTTCTCCCCTCTCCTCTCCCCTCCTCTCCTCTCTTTTCCCCTCCTCTCCTCTCCTCTCCTCTCCTCTCATCTCCTCTCCTCTCCTCTCCCCTCCTCTCCTTTCCTCTCCTCTCCTCTCCTCTCCTCTCCTCTCCCCTCTCTTCCCTTCCCCTTCATCCCAACAGGTGGAGCTGAGCCTCTGCTACCGCCACCCTCCCCTCCTCCACCACCCGCGCCTGTTTCCAATGGGGCCACCCACTCCCTCTCCCCGCTCCCGGCAGCACTCGCAGCTGCCGCCGTCCTTGCCACCTCCGCCGCCCTGCTTGCTCTCAGCCTCCTGTAGAGCCTGACTTCCTCCCTGTAGCATTTTGCCTCAGGAGCATGCACTGCCGCATGCTAGCCTACTTGTGGGAGCTTACCAGACTTGTGGCCTGCTGTGAGTACTATTCCACCAGTCAAGTGATTGGTTGGATTCGTATTTAGCTCTCGGAATGACCTTTCCTGCTACCCCCTCTGAGGGCCAAATGTTGTTTCTTGTATGTGAACTATGGTAGTTAGGGTACATTCCTGGATCTACACAAGTCTCAATCCTTTTGTGACACCCAAATTCAGCATAGACTCTATTGTGTCACAAACGCGTGTCCAGGGCTGACGTTATCAGGGTAATTACCCTGATTTCAGGGTGATTTCAGCCTTCTCACCTGCTGGTCCCTGTGAAATCAGGTTTTTCACATTTTGGTCCCTGATCCATTCAGAGTATCGCTTTAGCGAACCCTGAAATGTTGTGTACACTCTCAGTGTAGTGTTTTCACGGACCCTGTCAATACAGAGTACGCGGCCTGTGGACCCTGAATGAGATGTTATCGGGACGAAGTTTCTTGGAAATTTCCTCCTGATAACCCAGCCTTCAGATTGATCGCAGTACCCCCCACGCGCGTAATTCCCCCCCCCCCCCCCCCCCCCCCCCCCCCCCCCCCCCAACCCCTCGCTTTATCGGGACGAAGTTTCTTCGAATTTTCGTTCCCATACACCCACCATCGAGATCGGGCGAATCTGTAATGTCAGATCTAGTTTGCTGTTATTGGTCGAAACAGTTGTGCTCTGACACAGCGCCAGTCACATCGCCACAGTGCCAGTCACATCGCCAGTCACATCGCAAGTCACAGCGCCAGTCACAGCGCCAGTCACAGCGCCAGTCACAGTCACCCTTGCGATTATGCAGAGTGAGACTTCTTTCCCCGGTAAAGAAAGAGCGCGTTACTACGACCCTGATTTTCAATCCTCGACCCTGAACATTCAGAGTTCACTACTTCTCAACCCTGAGCAATCAGGGTGCTGTTTTTCTGGAAAATGTGCCTTCAGGGTAAATATTTTTTTTTTAGGTTGAACTCAGGGTACCTAAATTTGAAACGTCAGCCCTGGTGTCGCCCTACTGCTAGGTGTATTTTACACTGGTTAGCGTGAAACTCGCTAAAGTCGCGGACGAGTTGCACAATGCCCCGTCACTTTCAACAATTCGCACGCGGTTCGAAATGTCAAGGTCTCGCCAGACCCGACCACATGCACTTGGACACCCCACACAATGCCAATTTCACGCGGGGAAGACGTCCAGCAAGGCCTTGGGCAGCTCAAAAACTGTCAAATTATATTTGTATGTCTGTAAGGCTGTAGTGGGGTAGCTTACATAGAGTACAACCTTTTTATGGTTTCCTACTTGTACTTCTGATTCATGCTAGTGAAGTCATTCTTGCCTAAGTATTCTGACATGGTATTCAGAACAGGTCGATCCGTAGGACCGCTTCGTTAGGGCCCACCATCAGTTCGTACTGCCCGTTTTTCCTGCCCTGCCCTGTCCGATAGTAACTGCCCTGCCCTCACAGCGTCCCGCACACTGCCCTGCCCGCACTACCCTGCGAGCTCTGCCCTGCCCTGCGCACGACCCGCTTGCTGCCCAGCGCGCGACCCACTTGCTGCCTTGCAAGCGCCCTGCTCGCGCAGCCTGCACGCGCGCTGCCTGCGCCCTGCGTGCGCACTACCCGCACGCTGCCTGCGCTACCCGCGCGCTGCCTGTATCCCCTGCGCGCTTTCTTTGCTGCCCGCGCGCTGCTTGCCCTCCCCGCGAGCTGCCTGCGCGCTGCTTGCACCGCCCGCGCCCTGCCCTCGCACTGTGCGCCCTGCCCGCGCACTGCCCGCACGCTGCTGGCGCCGCCCACGCGCTACAAGCACGCATCCCCTACAGCTCGTGCGCCGCCCGCGCTCTGCCCGCACAGCCTGCGCACTGCCCTGCGCTGCATGCACGCGCCCTGCCCACGCTGCAGCTGCTACTAAGCTGCTGCTGCCGCCCGCGCCGAGCCGCCCTGCCCTGCCCGAGCCGCGCTGCCCTGCCGAGCCGCGTCGCCCTGCCCGAGCCGGGCCACCCTGCCGAGCCGTGCCGCCCTGCCGAACCGCCCAGCTGAGCCGCCCTGCCTAACTGCCCAGCCGAGCTGCTTTTTCTGCCGCCCCTGTTTCCTACTGCTGCGGCTGCTGCTGCTGCTGCTGCTGCTGCTACTGCTATTGCCTACTATTGCTACCATTACTGTCCTTACCTTTGACGCGGAGGGTCGCCCGATTAAGTTTGACTGCTGGCTCGAGGATCTTCAGTTGTACATGCAGAGCATACCTAGGGAGGAAGCCTCACTGTTAGAGCATACGTCCGGTTTTCTTCCTGCCCCTGGGGAGTCAGCTGATCGTGTAGTTCGTTCTCAAGAGCTCACGCGCGATGCTTCCGCCCACCTTTCTGTCCGCAACGCCCTCCCGCTAGATGAGAGGGTCCATTTTGGCCAGCTTAGGACGGCCAAGGAGCTCTATGACGCCGTAGTCGCTCGCTACTCCTCCCCCTCTACTGCTGCCCTAGGCCGTCTCATGCTGCCGCATCTCTTTCCTGAGCTGCCGGATTTCCACATTGTCGCTGATCTCATGACCCACCTTCGCTCTAGTGACACTCGCTACCGCGCCGCTCTAAAAAACGACCAGAAAGCGACCCTGCGCGTCATCAAGTTGCCACGCACAAAAACCTCGCGCCGAAACCACACCCCTGCCCGGCGGTTGAAGAAACGGGTGTACTGCCGTTTGTGTCACCCAATCAGATGCGCACAAGTGTATGTCAAATCATATATATTTGTATTAACTGCCTGTAGCATAAACTAGGCATGAGTCAGTTGCTCCAGCCGCTCGTCTAGCCGCAGAGCCAGTTATTCCAGTTGCCCGTGTGCCAGCAGCTTCAGCCGCCGCCCACCACCTCCTCTCCTCTCATGGTTCCTCCTCCTCCTCTCTTGCCCTCTCCTTCTTCCGCTGCACCTGGTGTACCCCTTCAGGGGGTGTTTCTGCACATGGTTATTTGCTGCAGGCAGTTAGGGGGTGTGTCAAAAATATATATATTTGTATCAACTGCCTGTAGCAAAATCTAGTGTAGCTATCTTTCCTGTTAGGTGGTGCACCTCTCCTTGCTTTGATTCCTATATGACTCGGGCCTTTGGCCCTTTAGTCAATCCTCTTTGCCCAACATCTCTTGCTCTCAATACCCTACTCCCTAACTCTCGCCATGCTCAAGCCTCCGAAGTTCCTAGCCTAGTAAACTCCTTCTTGACACTGTACATGTCGCCCGGTCGCCCAGTGTCGCGATACATTCACATTTTGAGACGCGAGGTTGACTAAATGTGTAGATGCGACTCGGGAAAAACGACATTGAGACACTTGTGTCGATACAGGAATGTACCCTTAGTGCTTCCCCTGGGAGCAGTAGATGCACTGTGTTGGCGATGTCAACAATCGGTTGTAAGTGTTAATCACCATATTTGGTGCGATCTATACTACAAGTGAGTGGCCGCGGCTAGTGCGAGAGGGGGACACAGCACGAGGGGCACACAGAAAGAAGAGACAGGAGCAACCAAAGGAGCTGACTAATCCACACCAAGACCCAAAATTGGTTGTAAGCCACTGGCTAATCAGAGTTTCAGCCAAGCTAACCCTGATTGCTACGGTAACCTTTTTTTTTTTTCTGACAAAAACAGGCTAAAATATCTGAAAGACTGACAGTGTCAGAGTAAAAATAGTGTTACTCTGATTGTTACCGCTATGTCCACTGGCATTTCCTACATAAGAGGTGTTTGTTATGTTCAATCAAGGTTTAGAAGGTTTCGAATTATAATGAAAGGACAGTTAACACTTGAACCACAGTCACCCGGACATACCAAGGGGGGGAATGTCTTTGAATACGTTAAAGAGATGGGGTGTGTCTTCGCAGTGGCAAAAGTTACATACTGTCATCGCCCGGATATAAGACATATGGGTCTTATCCACTATCGCCTTGAAAATGTGATGCTGATCGATAAACGGAACCCTGTGAAGGACACGCAAGTGTGGAGCAGGGCATGTATGAAGAAGCACTTCCCAAAGAAGGGCGCGATGGAGGGGGGAGGAAGGGGGGGGGGAGGGCATGAGACATTTAACGGGTGGGCCTAGGATCGAGTCGCTCGATACCATGTCAAATGGCGAACTTACGCTTAGGAACCATGGCTATGGTTTGGGTAGTGGCGTGAGTATCGAGAGGATTGAGCAAGCCAAAGAGAGGTGTTCAATAATAGGAAAGAGGTACAAGATATAGGCAAACAAGAACAAGAGGTGCACCACCAAACAGCATAGATAACTATACTACAACTATAGCTACAGGCAGTTACAAATATATATCAAATATATTTCACGACACTTACCACTAGTGCCCATCGCGCCCTCCATGTCCTTTGTCTACACTCCGACCGCGGGGGTGAGTTTCGCTCTCGTGTCCTTGCTGAGTTCTGTCGCGAGGAGGGCATCACTCATTCCTTCACGCTGCCAGGCTCACATCAGCAGAATGGGGTTGCTGAGCGCCGCATAGGCTTGGTCATGGAGATCGGTCGCACCTCCATGGTCCATGCCTGTGTGCCCCATTTTCTGTAGGCCGCGCGTCTTACGCACAGAGGTTTCACCGACCAGTCTCTGGACCGGGTCTCCTGGTGTCCCGTCTGCGTTTCGTGTCTGGGGCTGCCTTGCGCATGTCCGCGATCCTCGCGCGGACAAGCTCTCGGCTCGCACCATCCCCCGTGTCTTCCTTGGTTTCCCGGTTGACGCCCCCTAAATTCACGTTTACCACCCACCCCTCCACCGGTTCTTTGACTCCCGCGACATCATTGTTTTACGAGTCCGTGTCCTTCTTCGCACGCTAACCCCACCGAGGTCTCCCGGTCCCCCCCCCTCCCCTGTTCCTCGCTCCCACTCCTCATCCTAGGTTCCCTTGGGTTTCCATGGGTTCTCTTGGGTTCCCTTGCGTTTCCATGGGTTCCCATGGGTTCCCTTGGGTTCCCATGGGGCGCGCTAGGGGGGCGCTAAGGGGCCGCGCAGGGAGGGGGCGGGTGAGGCGCTAAGGGGCCGCGACGGGAGGGGCCACTATGGGGCGCATTGGTGAAGAGGGTGGAGAGGGCACTAGTGGTAGGTGAGAGTAGGCGAGGAGGAAGTGACGATCCTACACTAACGATGATACCATGTAAGAATATAAAAAAATGAATGAATAGAATGTGAAAGTACTATGCAATCGTGTACCCTCTATAGTGCACCTCAATCTTGCCTACAAGAGTACACATGCAAGCTATGAATGTGTACGTTCGCAATAATAACTGGCATTTTTTCAGGGCTTTGACGAAAGTTCGACAGGTCCAGAGTTTAGGGTGATTACAGAATGTCAGCCCTGTTTTGAAGCCAAATAATAGAAATAGGACTGAGCTCAGAATTGGGCAAGCTCATAGAAATGCATTCTTGACTGAGCAGCCCGAGTTGAAACAAGCATGTACGGTACGGTACCATTCCATTTTAGAAGCGAACCCACTCTGCCAACACAGTCTGCTGACATCATTTGTTAACTCCGGTACTATTCTGCATGGTCTGTCAAAGAAAGTGTCAGAATTAAGTGGCAAGAATGAGTTCACTAGCATGAATGAGAAGTACAATTAGGCAACCCTAAAAGGGTTGTACCCTATGTGGGCTACCCCATTACAGCCTACAGACATACAAATGTATTTTGACACACCCCCATAGGCAAAGTGGGGGATAGCAAGAACAACCAACAGTCACAAGACCAGTCAAGCAAAGGAACAAAGCTAAGCAAAACTTAGGGTGGATCTCAAGATCACGACGCAGTCTGAGCACAAGCAAGCGGCCACAAGGCCAGTTAACATGCAGGGTTATAAAAACACAAGCAGTACAGTGATCACAACCAAGTAAGAGTAAGCATGCAGGTATAGATATATAGATCCCAGTACAAGGCCAAGTCAAGTAGTAAGCAAGTGAGGCAGAGTAGGCACAAGGCCTAAAGCAGTGCAGAAGCGCTGATGGTCACCAGACCCAAGGGCCTTGGTGAAGATATCAGCAGTGCTGGCCCGAGAGGCCACGTAAGCAAGGCGAAGCTGACCACGCTGCTGCAACTCTCGAGTGAGAAAGTAACGAAGAGCAATGTGCTTCGGTATGTGCTCCTGTCTCTGCTCCTGACACAAGGCAATCGTGGCCTTGTTTTCGACGTACAGAACTGGAGAAGAACGAGGCCGCTCACCCAAGTAAGTCAGCAGGTAGGTCAGCCAGCGTAACTCTTGTGCAGCCATGGCCCCAGCGTAGATCTCGGCCTCACAGCTGGAACCAATCACAGAAGACGAACGAGTGGACCTCCACGAGACAGAACCAGAGCCGAGACTGAAAGAGTAACCCTGGGACGACCGCTGAGTCGCCGGGTCGTCAGGCCAAGAAGCGTCGGAGTGTCCTGTGAGTACCACTGGACCCCGTCTCCAAGCACAAGCCACATGCCCGATGTACTGCACAAGTAATGCAGTACCCTCTGCGCAGCTGTCCAGTGCTCCTTCCTGTGTCTCCCGGGGACGACGAAGCGAGCAAGGATGCTGAGAGGGTACGCGAGGTCAGGTCGTGTGCAAGTCATCAGGTACATGAGGCAGCCCACAAGCTCTGAATACGGGCCACTCGGCTCTACGGACTCGTCCGAAGGTGGAGCTGAGAGCGAGTGGCCTGTAGCTTGAGGAGTGGGCTGTGGCGAGGACGGTCAGACTCAGACTCAGTAACAAGACTCGCGAAGTAGTCAAGACGACAGGTAGCAGCAAAGTCAACGAGCTCAGTGACTAAGGCAGACGCAGCAGTAGACTCAAGGGATGGGTCAGTGACAAGTGTGGCCAGTACACGTGTGATAGTGGGACTAGCATCACGAGCAAGGTCAGACTCAGGGTCAGGAAGGTCAAGAAGAGAGGACGCCGACGAAGGCGGTAGGGCAACACGCTGTGGAACAGAGGAAGGACGAAGTGCTATAGAGCGCGTGCCGGGGACTGGTGGAGGACGAACACAACAAGCACGAATAACAGTGCGAACAGGCGAGGTAGGACGAGACGCAGGCTCACGACGCTCTGTCAGGGAGTCTGTCTGTTCAGGGTAGGGAGAAGGAGCAGGCAGAGGGGAGTGAGGTTGTAACGGCGGCTGTGACTGGTCAGGCGGAGGACACAGTAGAGGTGAAGTAAGGCCAGTGGAAGACGGAAGACTAAGCACCTGGCGATGCGCCGAGTCAGGTGGTGGCAGTGACGACCGCGGCTGCGCTAAGAAAAATGGTCGCCGCTGCGCAGTACCCGCAGTACTAGTGCCTCTTGCTCCAGTAGCTCCAGCACCAGCACCTCCAGCACCTCCAGCTCTAGTACAGCCAGTACCTCCAGCACCTCCAGCTCCAACACCTCCAGCACGTGCAGCACCAGCACCTCCAGCTCTAGTTTTGCCAGCTACAGCGCCAGCGGCGCCAGTACCTCCAGCACCAGCAGCACCAGCACCTCCAGCTCCACCACCTCCAGCACCAGCGCCCCCGGCACCAGCAGCTCCAGCTCCGCGACCAGAGGGGCCTCGCCGAACAACCCACTCGCGAAGCTGCTGTGGCGAGAGAGTCTCCTGTCGACGAGAGTGCTGCTGCTGTCCAGCGCCAGAACCTCCAGCAGGAGCACCCACGACTCCACCACCACTAGGACGCGCAGCACCCCCAGAAGTAGCACCACCAGAACCAGCACCCCCAGACTCAGCACCTCCATACTCAGCACCCCCATGACCAGCACCCCCAGAGTCCGCACCTCCAGTATCACCATCCCCAGCAGCACCGGAGTCCACATCGACAGGGTGCAGAGGCGGCGAAGGCGACCGAGGCGAAAACCAGGAGGGGTCTCCAAGCGCGGGGAGCGGCGAGTGGTCGCTGTGTCGTCAGCAGCAGGGTCACCCCCCTCAGCTGGGCCAGAGGTGTCAGAGGAGACCTTCAAAGGCTCAACCAAGGAGGGTGGGTCGACCTGAGACACACTTGAGGGAGCAGGACCCTGTGGGGGGAGAGGGTCTACCGGGGGGGGACCTGGAACTAGGAAGAGAGGCGGGGGGGGAGGGGGGGGTGGGGACGGGGGAAGTGTTGTGGGGGTGGAGACGGTAGAAGCAAACCGACTTGTTACAGGTGACAACCTGGGAGGACAGGACACGGCGCGTGGCAGGGTGGTAAAACTGCCAGGGCGAGGCGTTGGTGGGAAAGCCAAGGAAGATGCAGCGTCGACTGCGAGGAGAGAGCTTGCCCGCGGTAGGATCGTGGACAAGGGCAAGCGAGCCCCGGACCCGAAACGTCGTCGCATCGCCAACGTCCCCCGTCCAACGCAGTGTAGGCGAGGTCTATGGCACAGAGACACGGGACCAGAGGTTGAGCTGATGTGCGGCGTATCGGACCGCAAACGACCACAGAAAATGGGGAGCAACCGCATGGGCCATGGAGGTGCGAGCAACCTCCATGATCAGGCCAATGCGACGCTCAGCAATTACATTCCGCTGTGGAGAGGCCGGAAACGTGAACAATTGGGCGATGCGTGTCGCGATATATTTTTCATATATATTTATAACTGTCTGTAGCGTTAGCTTTAGTGTAGTTGTATTACCTTGCTGTTGGTGGTGCAGCTTTGTTAGTTTGCTATATGTAACTTGTGTGCTAACACACCCATTCTCAACATTCCTCCTTGGCCCAAACTACTCGAGACACCCGCTTGGCCTAGGCTCCTAAGCCTAGGCCTTAAGTAAACCCCGGTTCCTAGTTAAGACACTATCATAACATGGTATTGAGCTAGTACGTTCCTAGCCTGTCAACGTTTATGGACCCACCATCCTGTAATACCCGCGTTCACCGCTTATAGCTCGTTTTCCCCTTCCGTGCACCCGTCGATCGTCACTCTTTGCCCATGGCGTGCGCGTCCCATGGCGAGCGAGCCCGCAAAATCGCCAGCGGACCCGCCAGCGCGCGCGTCAGCAAGTCCGCCGGCGGACCCGCCAGCGCGCGTATCAGCAATCTCGCCGACGGACCCGCCAGCAAAGGACCCGCGGACCCACCAGCAGACGAACCAACGGACCTGCAGACCCGCCAGCAAAGGACCTGCGGACCCGCCAGCAGGCAATCCAGCGGACCCGCGAGCATGCCAGCCTACGAGCCGACGGATCCGCCGTCGAACCCGCTGCAACAACCACCAGCCGCCAGCGACCAGCACCAGCAGCGACATCTGCTCCGACCAGCGCCCGCGACAGTGACGCAAGCCAGCGCCAACCGCGAGAGCTGCACCAGCAGCACCTGCGGTCCTTGCCACTATACCTGTCGCCCCCCGTACCCTCCCCCGTACCCTCCCCGTCCCTTCCCCGTCGCCTCCCCGCCCCCTCCCCACCACCTTCCCGTCGCCTCCTCGTCCCCTCCCGTCCCTTTCCCGTCGTCTCCCCGTCCCATCCCCGTCGCCCTCCGTACCCTCCCCCTCCCTCCTCCGTCGCGTCCTCGTCCCCTCCCCGACGCCTCCCCGTCCCCTCCTCGTCGCCTTCCCTTCCGCAACTACGGCAGTGAGGGGGGAGGTGGCGTAGTGGGGGTGGCCGCCATGAGCCCCTACAGCCCCACCCTCTGCCCTGCCTCTCCCTTCCCGCGGCTTCTGCTGTGTGGGGGAGAAGGCAGGGACGGGGGGTGGGGGAGAGGGGGCTGGCCGCCGTGTGCAGATCTGTGCAGGGACTACTGTGGGTGGGGCAGGGGCTGGAGGAAGGAAGGCGGGGAGGGGGTGAGATACAAGGGGGCGGCTGATAAGGGGGGGTGAGGTTGAGGGGGGTGGTTGATTGGGGGTGGGATGTGGGGGTTAGTAAGAGGAGATCGCCGGCATCGAGCAGTCAAGCTCATGCACGCCCCCCCACCTCCTCTCCTCATCCCTCTCTCACCTCCCCCTTCGTAAAAGGGGGTTAGTAAGAGGGATCGCCCGCAGTGAGAAGAAAGACTCATGCACGCCCCCCACCTCCTCTCCTCATCCCTCTCACTCACCTCCTCCTTCGTTCTTATCTCCTCTCCCCTCCTCTCTCTCTCTCTCTCGCCTCCTCCTCCTCACTTACCTCTCTGCCGTCTTCCACTGCGCCAGCTATACCCCTTCGGGGGGTGTGACCTACTCTAGCTGTGTGCTGCAGGCAGTTAAGGGGATGTGTCGCGATATATATTTCATATATATTTATAACTACCTGTAGCTTTAGCTTTAGTGTAGTTATATTACCTTGCTGTTGGTGGTGCACCTTTGTTAGTTTGCTATATGTACCTTGTGTGCTATAGTGAACACACCCATTCCCGACATTCCTCCTTGGCACAAACTACTCGACACCCGCTTGGCCTAGGCTCCTAAGCCTAGGCCCTAACTAAACCCCGGTTCATAGTAAAGACAATATCGTAACAATGCCCTCCTCACGAAAAAAAGTCCTCAAGGAGGCGGGAGGAAAACTCACCGCCTCTGTCAGAGTGCAGTCGCAGGACCTGAAGGTCCCGCTAAAACCGTGCGCTCAGCTGGCGAGGAACAGTGCGGATCCAAGGGATCAAAACACCGCGGACATCCGCCTTGCTCTGTAAGGGGAAGACCGTGGTGTAACGCGTGTAGTCGTCAACAACCAGCAGAAAGTAGCGCTCGTGGTCCTGTCCACGGACGCGGGCGGGGCCCCACACGTCCATGTGGAGAGGCTGCAGAGGAGCAAAGGTCGGAGGAAACGAGGAGGATTGAGGAGCGGTGCGCTGCCGCCCCTCGACGCAGGGAAGGCACGGCGGTGCAAGCGAGCGGGGGCAGGGACCTGGGGAGGCCAGAGACAAGGAGACGAGAGTGCATGCTACGCAGACGCGGCAGGGAGGGGTGACCAAGACGGTGGTGCCAGAGGAGAGACGGGTGCGTGAGAAGGCGACACGAACAAGACGCAGCTAACTGACCCGACGCAGCCACCTGACCTGACGCAGCCACCTGGGCAGACTCAATGGTCAGTGTGTACAGGCCAGACCCAGGCCTCCGTGTGAACGTGGCGAGGTGCTTGCAAGTGCGTGAGTCCGTGCAGATCGCCACAAGCTCTCCCCCAGGCGTAGTGGTAGTGACCAACTCGTCTTGGAGGGTATCGTTACTCACCAAGTCCGTAGTGAACGAGAGGAGGTGGAAACCTGTGAGTGAGCCGGAAGGAGCAGCCGGACACAGGAGATTGGTGGAGGCACGTGCAACGACTGGGCCCCCAGAGGGGTCACCCAGAGTGACAGGGACAGGTGCTGTGAGCGGTGTGACTATGGTGCAATAGTGGAAGAAGCAGTTGTCAAACTATAATTGTTATAGTTTGTTAGTTTAGTCTAGGTGTTAGACAGAGTTATGCTGTAGAGGGTATAACCCCCTTAGGGTTTGCTATATGCTCCCTTGTACTGCTTGTTCCTACTCAATTCATTCAGCAGTTATCACTTTGACATGGTATAGAGCAGAAAGATCCTATGGGCCCACCGTCCCGTACCTCGACCTAGCCCGTTGCGCCCCGTCACCAGGACTGCCCCGCGCGTCACCCGTCAGCACGCTAGCCCCGCTCGTCACTCGTCAGCCTGCTAGCCCCGTGAGTCACCCGCCAGCTCGCGTGTGCGCTAGAGAGAGACCCCCCACGCCCCCCCCCCCCCCCCCCCCCCCCCCCCCCCCCCCACCCCCCCCCCCCCCCCCCTCTGTCACGACGTAGAACGGCCCCTGGCCCGCCAGATTGCGTGCTAGAAGAGACGCCCGCGGGTCCCCCACGTCGCGCCCTAGTAAGGCCCCCGCGGGCCCGTCAGATCGCAAGTTATAGGGACCCCCGCGGGTTCCCCCCACGTCGCGACCTAGTAAGGCCCCCGCGGGCCCGTCAGATCGCAAGTTAGAGGGACCCCCGCGGGTCCCCCCACGTCGCGACCTAGCAAGGCCCCCGCGGGCCCGTCAGATCGCGATTTAGAGGGACCCCCGCGGGTCCCCCCCACGTCGCGACCTAGTAAGGCCCCCCATCAGATCGCGAGTTAGAGGGACCCCCGCGGGTTCCCCCACGTCGCGACCTAGTAAGGCCCCCGCGGGCCCGTCAGATCGCGTCCCCCCCCCCCCCCCCCCCCCCCCCCGTCGAACCCCGTAACCTGCTACCCCACCCGTCAGATCGCGTCCCCCCCCGTCGAATCGCGTCCCTTCCCCCCGTCGAACCCGTAACCTGCTGCCCCACCCGTCAGATCGCGTCCCCCCCCCGTCGAATCGCTTCCCCCCCCGTCGAACCCGTCACCTGCTGCCCCACCCGTCACCCCACCCGTATCCCGCCGCCCCACCTGCTGCCCCACGCGCTGCCCCACCCGTGAACCGCCGCCTCACCCGTCCCCCGTCGCCTTACCCGCCTCCTCCACCTGTCACCCGTCGCCTTACCCGTCACCCGCCGCCCCACCCGTTAGCCGCCGCCCCACCTGCTTCCCCGCCTGCTAACCCACCTGAAACCCGCCGCCCCACCTGTTATCCGCCGCCTCATGAGCTGAAACCCGCCACCCCACCTGAAACCCGCCGCCCCACAAGCTGCCCCAACCACCGATCCACCTGAAAACCTTAATCTGCCGCCCCACCCTGTACCCGCCTGCCCCACCTGTCACCCGCACCCTGGAACAGCCCCCAACCGCACAGAACCACACTCAACCGCATTTGACCGCATTCAATTGCACAGAACCGCACTCAACCGCATTTGATCGCACCAGACTGCATCGGACTGCAAGCCGCCGCCACACCTGTTAGCCCCACCTGGAAACCATAATCTGCCCCCCCCCCACCCGCTTACGACCCCTCCTAGCCGTTTTCCACCGCACTAGACCGCACCAGACCACACCAACCGCTCCTCACAGCACCCGACTGATTCTAGCCGTTTTCCACTACACTAGACCGCACCAGACCATAGCCGACCACTCCTAGCCGCTCTCACCCATAGCCGACCGCTCCTAGCCGCTCCTAGCCGACCGCTCCTAGCGCTCGGCTGTCTCTAGCACCTACCATGGCGTCTACTAGAGTTCTGCTGCAGCAGGGTCAGCCGCTACGACCGCAGCTGCAGCACTCCCGGCAGTGGGGACTTGAGGGTCCTAGGAGTACCGGCCTCAGCAACGGCTCAGCCAGGAGTAGGCGCGAAGTTGGTCCCTGTGGGTACCAGATCCTGACTGGCCCCGGTGCTGGCACTACCTGCTGGAGTCCTGACCACTCTGCGTCCCGCTGCTACCGTCACCTCGACGACCTCCACCGTGAGCGTTTTGGTCCTGACGCTGTTACACTGCACTGGCCTTCGCGTCTTCGCCAGGGCACTATTGCACCAGTTGAGTCTCACCTACCTGGTCTAGGACCTTTCCCGGCTGCACGAGTAGAGACCTGTGCTTCTAGTCTTCGTGCGTGTGTAGTTTCGAGTCCAGGCGCCTCTGAGGGTCTTTGTATGGGAGCTGCAGCTACCACTAGTCTAGTACCAGCTTTGGTCGCTGGCTCAGGTGCGACTTCACTGACTGCACAGCTTTCCTTCACCCTAGACTCTGGAGCGTCCAGCTGTTTCTTTCGCGACTGCACCGACCTCCCGCCACTGCGCACTTCAGTCACTGTCGCCTTGGCTGACCCCTCCGTTGGACTTGTAGTTGTCCGCAGCACCACCACTCTCCCGTGTCCGGTGGCTCCCTCTGGGTTTCTCACAGGTTACTACACCCCCTCGTTCTCCAGGAACCTGGTGGGTGTCAGTCACCTCCACGACCTAGGTGTAGTCACTACTTTCCCACTGGACGAGCCTGTTGCCTCCTGCAAAGTCAGTGCCACTGGGGCGCCTCTGGCTGCTTTTCACAGGGAGCCGGGCTCTGGTCTGTACTCACTACACACTGGGTCCCACCACACTGGGTCAGGTCAGGTCAGGTAGCTACTGTGTCGTGCGACTGTGGGTCACTCACCCACCCGTCGGTCCTCTGGCACCACCATCTAGGTCACCCGTCCTTCCCACGTCTCAGTAGGATGGTACGTCACCGTCTGGTCTCAGGTCTCCTAGAGTCGCTTGCACCGCTTCCTCGCTCGCCTGCGCCGTCGTGCACTCCTTGCGTCGAGGGTCGGCAGCGCGCTGCCCCTCACTCCTCCTCGTTCCCCCCTACCACGGCCCCCTTCCAGACCCTGCACTTGGACGTCTGGGGCCCCTCCCCGGTCCTTGGCCCACGTCAGAAGCGCTACTCCCTGATTGTGGTGGACGATTACTCCCGCTACACCACGGTTTTCCCCTTGCGACGGAAGGCCGACGTGCCTACCGTCCTCGAGCCGTGGTTACTAGCGAGGGGTGGCGCCCAGGGCCTGTGTGGGCTCCGCCTACACTCGGACCGTGGTGGTGAGTTTTCTTCCACTCGCCTGGAGACGTTCTGTCAGGGTCGGGGGATCATCCAGCCTTACACGCTACCAGACTCGCCGCAGCCGAGCGACGCATCGGCATGGTCGTGGAGGTTTCTCGGACCTCCATGTGCCATGCCGGTGCCCCCCAGTTCCTGTGGCCTCAGGCAATCCGCAACGTCACGCACCAGCTGAACCTGTGGCCTAGTGACGCACGGCCACGGGTGACGTCGGTTTCCCTTTGGACAGGTTCCCCGGGTGTAGCAGCTGACTACCGTGTCTGGGGTTCCCTGGCTCACGTTCGGGCCCCTGGCGCGAACAAGTTGTCTGTTCGCACCTGTGACTGCGTCTTTCTTGGCTTCACACTCGACTCCTCCAGCTGGGCGTTCTACGACCCAGTCACCCGCTAGTTCTTCGCCCCTCAGGACAGCAGCAAGACGCGCCTGAGTCAAGTGTGAAGGTGTGCAAGGCCTCAGCAGGAGCAACACCTGTGGCAGCAGACTCACAAGCACCTAGAGCAGCATCCTCTATACCAGCAGCGCGAGGCACACACGAGTAACAGTCACCCTCAACACTAGTAGAACCAACATACATAGCATATAAGCCAGCATTGATCTTGTCCCAATCAAGAGCAAACACATCCACCCCCTTCTGGAGCAATCCTAACCAGTTGGGGATCTCAAGCTCGTCACCGTACTCGGTGCGCCAGGCATCCTCGAGACGGACAAAGCAGCGATACTCAGTGTGCCCAATCTTCCCGCAGGGGTCACCAGTCCGGGGACCCGTGCGCCTGACGTACGGGCAACGACCACTACCCCCAGAGGAGCCACGCTGGACAACCCACTCACGAAGCTGCTAGGGCGAGAGTGTCTCCTGCTGGCGTGGCTGCTGCTGCTGTCCACCCCCACAGCCTCCGCCGCCACGAGCTACACCCCCAGTCGCCGCCCCAGAGCCTCCAACCCTACCAACTCCACCCCGACCGCCGCCCGAGCCCCCTCCGCCCACCCCACCGCCTCCAACACCCCCGCCACCTCTACCGCCGCCACCACCGCCTCCACCCCTGCCACCACCGCCTCCACCACCCCCGACATCGCCACCCCCACCACCCTTACCCCTCTTGTCCTTGCCACTGCGGCGCCTCCCACTAGGAGCAGACGCAGCACCGACCTCCTCAGCACGAAGGAAGTCAACAGCAGCAGCAGAGGCAACAAAGGGCGCGAGAAGGGAGGGAGAACACGCCTCAAAGAAGGGGGAGCGGGGAGTGCCACGAGAGGCTGCTACAGCGACGGCACTGGTCTCAGCCTCGAGGAGACGAGTCTCAAGGGTGGCAAGCGTGAGCTCAGTGGGGTCGAGGGCTAGGAAGTGATCCCTAACGGCGCGGAGGGAACCAGGGAGGGGAGTGACAAGGAAGTAAAGGGCGATGATGTACATCGGGGGCGGGTTCGCAGTCAGAAAGGCCGGCTTGAGAGCAGCGCGGTAGCGAGTGTCACTAGAGCGAAGGTGGGTCATGAGATCAACGACGGTGTGGAAGTCCGACAGCTCAGGAAAAAGATACGGCAGCATGAGACGGCCTAGGGTAGCAGTAGAGGGGGAGGAGTAGCGAGTGACTACATCGTCATAGAGCTCCTTGGCCGTCTCCAGCTGGCCAAAAGTGCCCTCTCATCTAGCGGGAGGTGGTTGCGGACAGCAAGGCGGGCGGTAGCATCACGCGTGAGCCACTGCGAACGAGCTACACGGTCAGCTGTATCATATGGGGCGGGAAGGGACCGGGACGTATGCTCTAACAGTGAGACGTCGTCCCTGGCTACACTCTGCAGGTACAGTTGGAGATCCTCTAGCCCGGTGTCAAACTTAATCGGGCGACCCTCCGCGTCAAAGGTAAGTACAGAAATGGTTGCCATAGCAGGCAGTAGCAATAGCAGCAGAAGCAGAAGGGGTGGCAACAAAGGCAGCTCGGCTGCGCGGCTCGGCAGGGCGGTGCGGCTCGGGCAGGGCGGCGCGGCTCGGTAAGGCGGCGCGGCTCGGGCAGGGCAGCGCGGCTCAGCGCGGGCGGCAGCAGCAGCGCAGGCAGGGTGCGCGCAGGCGGCGCAGGGCAGTGTGCGGGCTATGCGCGGGAAGCAGGGGCAGCGCGCTTGCAGCGCATGGGCAGCGCAGGCAGCGAGCAAGCGGCGCGCGGGCAGTGCAAGCAGCGCGTAGGCAGAGCGCGGGCGGTGCAAGCAGCGCGCAGGCAGCTCGCGGGCAGCACAGGCAACGCGTAGGCAGTGCAGGCAGCGCGCGGGCAGCGCAGGCAGCGTGCGGGCGGTGCAGGCAGAGCGCGCAGGGCTCAGGCAGCGCGCGTGCAGGCGGCGCGAGCAGTGCGCGTGCGAGGCAGCGTGCGGGTCGCGCGCAGGGCAGGGCAGAGCGCATAGGGTAGCGCGGGCAGGGCAGCGTGCGGGACGTTGTTAGGGCAGGGCAGTCACGATCGTAGTTAGGGCAGGGCAGGAAAAACCGGGCAGAACGAAATCAACGGTGGGCCCTAAAGGAGCGGTCCTACGCAGGGACCTGCTCTGAATACCATGTCAGGAATGAGTTCACTAGCATGAATGAGAAGTACAAGTAGGCAACCCTACAAGGGTTGTACCGTACCCTATATGGGCTACTACAGCCTACAGACATACAAATGTATTTTGACAGAAAGGGTGTCCATCAAGTGGTGCAGAGGACTATCCAGGTGACAGTGTAGCCAGTGAAGAGAAAAAGACCAACAACAAGGTCTATCTTGACTGCGAGCCGGTAGTTCCCTTCCTTGGCTCTTTCGGGGTTGGATGCCTTCACATAGTAGCCAAACAATCGGAATCTCTGTAAAGAAAAGGAAACAAATATTTCTGGGGGAGAGGAGGTTAGATGGTATGGTATTGCAGTCTGGTACTGCAAACGCAGCAGGCCAGACTGCAAGGAACGTCCAACTAGACCCACCCGCAGCAAGAGCAGCAGCAGCAGCAACAACAGCAGCAGCAGCACGCAGCAGGGCAGTGGTACATACCAGCAGGCCCGGGACGTTCTTCTTCTGCTTCTCCTCAGCCGCAGCAGCCCTCCTCTCTGCTGCAGCTTCAGCAATGGCTTCAGCGTCGTTGCTGTCAACGCCCTCCACGTCTTCCCCACCACCCATCAGCTTCTCGCCCGCTGCCTTGTCGGCAGCAGAGTCCTTGATTGAGAGCGCGGGCGGCAGCGCGTCCTGCACGAGCTCCTGCACGTTCTTCTCAATGCGCTCGGCGATGCAGAAGGCGACGAGGATTTCCATGGTGCACAGCCAGATGACAATGTACGACACGATCATCAGATACCCAAAGTTGGTTATCGCTGACGTGCGCGGTAGCTGCCACCACATGCAGGGGAGGGGAGGGGGGAGGAAGGAAGTAGGGGGGAGGAAAGGGATTTGGGAGGGGATTGCCAAGACAGCGTTGGATGACTGTGGGAGGAGGGGTTTTGGTTTTCGAAGAGGGGTCTGAGGCGAGAGAGGGGGGAAGAAGGGCGGAGGAGAAGGGTGCATAAGTTGGGAGAGGAGGGTAATGGAAAGACAGAGTGGTGGAGCGGAGGAGGTGTGGGGCTGCTGCAGCAAGGACGGGCGGAGATTGAAGGCGATAGTAAAGGAGAAAAACGAATACACCGTATTACAAGATAGAGATTGTGAGAAGGGTGAGGGGAGCGACCTGGCTGTCAATGACAAACCTGGCTGTCAATGCCGAACCTGGCTGTCAATGCCGAACCTGGCTGTCAATGCCGAAACTGGCTGTCAATGCCGAACCTGGCTGTCAATGACAAACCTGGCTGTCAATGCCGAACCTGGCTGTCAATGCCGAACCTGGCTGTCAATGCCGAACCTGGCTGTCAATGACGAACCTGGCTGTCAATGACGAACTGAATGGCGACGAGTGCAAGGAAGAGCGTGAGGCACGCCCCCAATCGAATCTCGAGATCCTCTGGCTTGGCTATGAAGGCCGTGAATGTGAGATAGACGCTCAGGATGACCGGCAGCAGCACCTGGTGGGGCGAAGGAGGAGAGAGAGGCGAGAGGCGAGAGGGGAGAGCGAGGAGAGGGAGAAGTGTTAAAAGAGCGAGAGGAGAGAGAGGAGAGAGAGAGGAGAGAGAGAGGAGAGAGAGGAGAGAGAGGAGAGGGAGAGGAGAGAGAGGAGAGAGAGAGGAGAGAGAGGAGAGAGAGGAGTGAGAGGAGAGAGAAAGAGAGGTGTGAGGAGGAGGAGGAGGAAGAGGAGAAGGAGGAGGAGGAGGAGGAGGAGGAGGAGGAGGAGGAGGAGGAGGAGGAGGAGGAGGAGGAGGAGGAGGAGGAGGAGGAGGAGGAGGAGGAGGAGGAAAAGGAGAAGGAGAAGGAGGGTTTATGGGAGGCAGGGAGGGAGGCGGGATGATGTGCGGATGGGAGAAGCAGAGGGCAGCCCTGGATTGGCAGCAGCGAGTGGGAGAGGAGGCAGGGGAGGGAGCGTACGGCGATGACATAGACGCCGCTGGTGCGTTGGATGTGGATGGTGAAGATGCACGTGGCGCTCTGGTTGCTCGCTGCCCCACTGCTGCTGCTGCTGCTGGCACTGTCCGGCACAGCGTTCCACGGGTCCTCTGGGGGACGAGCGCGAGCAGCAGCAGGTAGGTGCATGTGGGGCGCAGTTAGTGGGGCAGGGGGAGGGAGGGGAGAGGGGAAGTGAGCGCAGTGGGGGTGGTAGCAGAGGGAGGGGTGGGAACAGAGGGAGGGGTGGGAGCAGTGGCAGACAGGGGTGGGGGAAGGAGGGGTAAGAGCAGAGGAAGAACAGAAAGTGCTGTCAGGCACACACACATAAACGCGCACACGTGACCATACACACTCCACGTGGCGCAGCTCACCGGGGTGGTAGGAGGCGGAGGTGCTGACAGTGGTGTCAGAGGGAGTGCAGTCGAGCCCCACACTGGCAATCTTCCAGCCCGTGACCTCATCATTCACGTACGTGCCTCCCCCTCCCCCCAGCTGCCCGCCCCCCTGCTCCGACTGCCGCCCTGAATTGCTCCCCACCAGGTAGAACTCGCCGCTGCCCTCCACTGAAACCACCAACCGCAGGATCTGGGGGGGAAAGTAGGGGGGACGAGCGAGGTGGAGAGATACAAGGCAGCGGACGCTTCTTGGTGCCTTTAGATGGAAAGTTACAATAGTAGACGACAGTGGCAGTTGAAGGGGAGGCTGAGAGAGCCGTGAAGAGAAAGGAGAGAAAGGAGGCGGTGAGAAAAGCCATGCAGCCTTACCTGAGAGTCAAAGGGGAATTTTTGGAAGGTGAAGGGCGAGAAGAAGGTTCCTGCACGATGGGAAGAGGGGGAGAGAGAGGCACGAAGCATGAACCCTGGTCATCCAAGGGCAGAGTGGACATTGGTGGACCAGTGCAGCATAGCAGCGCAGAGCACAGAAGAGAAGAGAAGAGAAGAGAAGAGAAGAGAAGAGAAGAGAAGAGAAGAGAAGAGAAGAGACGAGAAGAGCATGTGGGTGGCAAGGAGGAGATGAAGTACCTTCAACGATGGACTCTCGGTCGACGGCACTGGCATCGGTGCTGTAATCCCCAAAGAAGAAAATGCTCTCTGCACGCACACGCACGTGCACATAAGGGGCACACAGGGAGGCAGAGATTGGTCTGCCGTGGTGCCATGCATGAGCACTGCATGCTTCCTAGCGAATGTCTGCCATGGCACGGCGTGGCATGGCGTGGCGTGGCATAGCATGGCATGTGTGGGCTCAAAATGATCTCTGCACACCGAGGCCGCATTTCTCTGTGTGCCCACCCCAACCCCCCCCCTTGGCTTGTGTGCGGCCTGTGAGCCGGTTCACCAAGCACACTAATGCCCACATGACGGTGGAGTCGACTCAAAAGTAATGCCCTGCTCGCATGACGTCTCACTCACCAGTCTGGAATCGATCTTGCGGATAAACGATGACGTTCGGGATGGTGAGCGAGGGGATCCAGAGGGCGTCGCAGCACGTGATGCCCGCAGGAGTGCACGGCTTGATGCACCCCTCCATCTGCGGCAGGTTGTTCTGCACTCCAGCAAGCACGCAGGGGGGTGGAGTGGAACGGGCGGGAAGGAAAGGAAACGCGATGAGCACAACGACAATGATGATATGGCGCCACCAAACGTGCTGCTGCTGCTGCTGCTGCTGCTGCTGCTGCTGCTGCTGCTGCTGCTGCTGCTGCTGCTGCTGCTGCTGCTGGGAGATTCAAGCATCAAGCATCAAGCAGGTGGGTGCATCACCTCCCCATCCGCCCATGCCCCAGCACCCCGCCCCATCCCGCTCAAGGCTGCGTCTCCCTTGCCCTGCGCCCCCCCCATCCACAATCCCCCCCACTCCCCACGCCGCCATTCCCGTGACGAGCGACCTGCTTGGTGTTCTTGAGGCAGGCGTCCTTCTGGCTGATGTTGAACCCCGAGAACGTCACGTTCGCCTTGCAGTCCTCCACAGCCTTCCACGTCAGTGCCGGCCCCATCGCCGACAGAACCTTGTTGATCGCCACCGTGTCGTTCACTGCCATGCCACGTCATGCCATGCCACGCCAAGCCACGCCACGCCACGCCACGTCACGCCACGTCACGCCACGCCACGCCACGCCACGCCATGCCACGCCAACACGGATACTCTCACTATGACACGATAGCCAGTGCGCAAGCGCGAAGCAACCCAAATATAATGCACGGCACGGCGGCGACAGGGAAGGGGAAGTAACGGGGGGCGGACTAGCAGCACGGCGGGCCGCTGGGCGCGATCTGCAGTGGGTGACGCCGCATGCAGCACGCAGCACGCACCTCGTGGGTCGCGCCAGGTGGTGACGATGGAGAAGTAGGCGCTGTAGCTGTACTGGACCTCTGCTCGCCGCAATGCGCGGCGCGTTCGGGGAGAGGTGGGGAGGACGTGGGGAGAGGGGAGGGCCGTGCGATCAAGCTCACATGAAATGACCCTGATTCGGGTACCAAGCTGAGAAGCAGTCTTTCAGAGCAGTTTAGACAACGGTTAGGACTTGCTTTCATATGGCACCCACTTGAGTCGGCCATCTTTTATCGGGAAGGGACGAAGGGCGGCGAGGGAGGAGCTTATCATGGGCGCACGCGCGAATTTACTGATGACCGCTTAAAGAAGCGAGAGGGGAGGCGGGTGGGGGGGGAGGGGGAGGGGGGTGCGGATATAAAGGGGACGACGCGGGTAGTAGTACGAGCGCGGCCCGTACCGTCGACGGCGATGAGCTTCTTGAGGAGCACGGAGACGTAGACGGGCGGCTTGTTGTCGACCAGCCCCGCCGAGTACGGGTCGATGCCCTGCCCCACCAGCGGACAGTCCGTTTGAGCCACCGCCCCGCGCACTCCGCCGCCTCCGCCGCTGCGCTCATCCGGCGCCGGCGCCAGGAGCGCGAGTAGCAGCAGCAGCAGCACCAGCGGAATCGGCGCGGCACGGGGAGTCGGCATCCGGCGCGGCGGTTGGAAACGGCGATGATTGGATAGCGACAAGGGTGGGCGGCGGACGACAGAGGAGTGCATCATGCTGTCATCGAGCAGTGGCAACGACGATCGAGAACGAAAACAAGGGAACGCGGATGATTCGGAATAACGACCGGAGGCTACTTCTCAAAGGCTGACCGCTGTGGAATGGAAAGCCATCTGCAGACTTTCACTAAAGCGTGATGAGCACACTGAACTTGAGACTTGGCAGGTCAATTCAATGCGGATTTTCAAACTTTGTCGACTGGACACCTGGAGAATTGCACGGCACGTGGGGAAGGTGTGGTTTGTTAAAGCCGCGGTGCAACTTCTTAGGAACAGTAGCAGGACAAAAACTGCTTGTGCGTAATTGGACTTCTATTGGTCGAAAAAACTCGAGTTTCGCAACAAGACAAACCTCTCGCCTGTGAACTGCCTAGGTCAACCTCTTCCAAGCTATAATACTTTGAAGTTGAACTTGATAGTTGCACCGCGGCTTTAAAAAAATATGCCACGCTGGACCTATAGTGATGCAGTCGTTGTTGCACTTACGTTGGGTGGACGGACACTGGACAGGACATTTCCAGGAACGCCATCTTTTAGTTCGGATCGGAAGACTTGTGCAATAGTCTCTCCTCCTCCATTGTACAGTAGCTATGTAGCCGCGACTTCCGTCCTCCAATCCAAACCACACGGAACGAGTCGAGAGACCTAATCGATGAGGAGGTTCGCCGCCCAGGCGGTCAGTTTCTAGCCTATCACGCGTGTCCGCCGCCCCATACCTCCGATGAGTCATCCATCCATACCTGCACTGATTCGTCGGATCCCCCATCCCCCTCCGTCCGCTCTCCCCGGTGCACCCATGCGACGGATCCCCCCATTCCCTCCTGTAACGCCTGCGGGGCTGCTTACACGTAAGGGTTGAGTGCCTCCGCTGCGCCTCAAATATATAACCCTCGTTTTGCCCCAGTGGGTAGCGAGGTGTTATACCTCCCCTTCCCCCTCTGCACCCACGCGGCGGCGGACACCCCCCCCCCCCCCGCCCCCATCCTCCCGCGATTCGTCATCCAGTCCAGAGTCCAGACACACACACCCGGTGCATCCGAGCCATGACCCATTCACGCGCGCGCACAGGGATACACCCCTCGCAGCATAGCAGTAAGAAACGAAGGCGCGGGCGTTGGCCTTTCAACATTCTCTCACTGGGAGTTTGGTTTGGTTCCTTCACCCCACGCATTGCCGCGCCATTCCTTTCACGAGTCGTTGTAATCAAGAGTCACCTTGACTCTCGTAGTCCGGACAGAAGCGATGATCGCGGCGGTTCGTTTCGCTGATCCGAGGGGGTCGCAGCTGTCCCTCGCGCTGCTACTCGCTATCATGATGCTGCTCCCATGGACCGCGTTTTTCGGCGCCAATTGCGGAGGCGTTCAGCTGGCGGCAACGCAGACGGACTGCCCGCTGATTGGTCAGGGCATCGACCCGTACACGGCGGGGATTGTGACGGAAAAGCCGAAAGTTTTTCTCTCCGTGCAGCTCAAGAAGCTCATCAGCGTCGACGGTGAGCATTTTAAGAGTTCCCAGCTTCATCGCCTTGTTTCCGCTCGCGCCATTGCCGCACTCGACGCACCACACGCGCGCGCGCTGACATACCCTCCTCTTTTTCCTCCCACCACATACAACCTGGGGCTGTATGTGCAAGGGGCCCTTCCACAACACCATCATGTTGTGACATGATGAGTTTCTCATGTGACACCCGCACAGACTTCGCCGTCCATCGTCCCGTCCCTCCCTGCTCGTCTCCCTCCCCCCTGCAGCCGTCACATACAGCTACAAGGCATATTTCCAAGTTGTCGCCACGTGGAGAGACCCTCGAGGTGCGTTTCGCCCTTCCCTCTGCTGCTGCTGCTGCTGGCCTCGCGCCGCCCCACGTTCCGTTCCGCCTTTCGCGGCCGAGCCGCTGGGTCAGTTGTCGTCCGCTCTCGTGGCGATGCCAATGCGTGCTCGTCGCAACAGCGCTGGTGCTTGGAATTCGTCGCGATGCTGAATGACTCTCTTTTTTCCTATCATTGTCCCCCTGCCTCTGCCTCTGCCTCTGCCTCTGCCTCTGCCTCTGCCTCTGCCTCTGCCTCTGCCTCTGCCTCTGCCTCTGCCTCTGCCTCTGCCTCTGCCTCTGCCTCTGCCTCTGCCTCTGCCTCTGCCTCTGCCTCTGCCTCTGTCTCTGCCTCTGCCTCTGTCTCTGCCTCTGCCTCTGCCTCTGCCTCTGCCTCTGCCTCTGCCTCGGTCTCTGCGTGCGTGCGTGCGGGCCGGCAGTGAACAACACGCTGGCGATAAACAACGCGGTGAGCGCGTTCGGGCCGGCCATCACGGGACTCGCCACGGCCAAATGCAAGCCCAACGTGACGTTTTCGGGGTTCAACATCAGCCAGAAGGACGAGTGCCTGAAGACGCCCAAGCAGAACAACCTGCCGCAGATGGACGGCTGCAGCAAGCCGTGCACTCCGTCCGGCACCACGTGCTGCGACGCCCTCTGGATCCCCTCGCTCACCATCGACAACGTCCTCTTCTACCCGCAGGACCGCTTCCAAACAGGTAAGTAAGACCGCTTCCAAACCGGTCACCTACCTCGCCCGCTCGTTCCATTGCTTCCTCGGTTGCGTGCATGCATGCACCTCTCTTGCCGCCCACAGATGCCGCACGACCTCGCGTCGCATCTCCCTGTCTATTGATACTCCAGTCGGCCTTAACGTCCCATCCTTGTGAAATTCCCATCTTCTGTCCCTCCCCCCCGCTCTCCCGCCATCCCCCCACCCCACTCTCTCGCAGAGAGCATCTACTTCTTCGGGCAGTACAGCAACGAGGCCAGCTCGATCGACAGAGAAGTCGTCGTTGGAGGTGCTCCTCCCCTCCTCTCCCCCCCTTCCTCTCCCTCCACTCCCCTCCTCTCCCCTTCCCGCCCTCCACTCCCCTCCTCCCATCCTCTCCCTCCACTCCCCTCCTTTCCCTCCGCTACCCTCCTTTCCCTTCACTCCCCTTCAGTCCTCCCTCCACCCCTCTTCCCCTCCTCCGTCCGACTCCCCTCGCCTGTCCTTCTCTCTCGTTTGTCCACTCGCATGCCGTGTCTTGCTCGACCGCTTCTTCCGCAGCATCACCACACCGCGTCCACCAGCACTGCTGCATGCAGTCGTGCAACCAATGAATGACTTGTGTGCGTCTCCTAGAGCTCACAGGTTATCTTCTGTGCCGTGTGTGTCTGTGTGTGGTCGTGCATATGTGTGCGCCTGTGTCGATGTGCATTTCTGTGTGCAACAGGCGAGTTCTCGTCGCCCCTCAGCTTCAAGAAGTTTCCTCTTGACACTCAGGTGGGTCTCTCACATGTATCCTCTTCTCCCTCACTCGCTCTTTCACTCCCTCCCCTTTGGACTGACACGCAGACAAGTGAGTAGGGATAAAACACTGACACCCCCTCCTCCTTCCCTCATCACACCCATGCTCCTGCCTCTGCCTCTGCCTCTCCCTCTGCCTCTCCCTCTGCCTCTCCCTCTGCCTCTCCCTCTGCCTCTGCCCCTGCCCCTGCCCCTGCCCCTGCCCCTGCCCCTGCCCCTGCTCTGCACGGCAGACGCTGCGGCTGAGCATTCAGGTGGAGAGCGGCGAGTTCTACCTGGTGGGGAGCAACTCGGGGCGGCAGTCGGAGCAGGGGGGCGGACAGCTGGGGGGAGGGGGAGGCACGTACGTGAATGATGAGGTCACAGGCTGGAAGATCAACGACGTCGCGCTCAACTGCACTCCCTCTGCTACCACCGTCTCCACCTCCGCCACCTACCATCCCGGTAACCACCTCCGCCACCTACCATACTGGTAACCACCTCTACTCTCTCAGTAACCACCGCTTCTTACGTCCCCGGTAACCACCTCCGCCACCTACGCTCCTGGTAGTAACCACTGCTGCTTACTCTCCTGGTAACCATGGGCACTTACCATGACCATCACCACTCATTACTACTTGTTTGTTCAACTTTATGACTGAGATGTATGTCCGGTGCCATGCATGCTGCCATGCGTGTTGTCACACGTGTTGCCATGTACGTCGGGCTGTGCAGATGACCCTTGGTACGCGTTCTCTCAGAACTCTTCGCCAGACAGTGGCAGCAGCAGCAACGTGAACGAGTCCACGTCGTGTGTCTTCACCATCCAGATCTCCCGTACCAGTGGCGTCTTCATCATCTCCGTGCGCCTCTCTCACCCACGCCTCTCACTCGCCAATATCTTCCATGTCACCATCCCCATCCCCATCCCCATCGCCATCACCATCGCCATCACCATCCCCATCCCCATCCCCATCCCCATCCCCATCCCCATCCCCATCCCCATCCCCATCCCCATCCCCATCCCCATCGCCATCCCCATCCCCATCGCCATCACCATCCCCATTCCCATCCCCATCCCCATCCCCATCCCCATCCCCATCCCCATCCCCATCCCCATCCCCATCCCCATCCCCATCGCCATCGCCATCGCGATCGCCATCGCCATCTATGTCTCATACCTCCATTTTAGTCCCATCCGCTGCCTGTGCCTTGCATCTCTGCGCCTGTACCCATTTGACCATCCTCACCATCCCATCATCATCTGTGTCTCTTGCTTCCATCCTAGTCCCATCTGCTGCCTGTGCCTTGCATCTCTGGCGTCTGCAAGTACTCGTCCCGTCCCTTGCACGTGTGACCCCCTGCTCCCACCCCTGTCAGATCGTGGTGCCTGTGATGCTCAGCGTGTATCTCTGCTTCTCCGTCTTCTTTGCTCGCCCCGACGACCTGGAGACTCGATCCGCCACCTTTGTCACGCTCTTCCTCGCCCTCTCAGCCGTGCAGTTCGTCATTGACAGCCAGGTGAGTGCCTGCCTGGGTGCCTGGGTGCGTTAGTGGGTGGGTGCGTGGGTGGGTTAATGGGTGGGTGGGTGGGTGTGGCCTCGCATCGCCTTGCATCTCCATTCGCACAGGGTCTACACTGTGGATGCGTCACAAGGTGGCTAGCATGCGACAGCTCCAAAGAAGCAGCATGCAGCAAACCCCTTCACATCATTCCGATTCTTTATTCGCCTCAAGTTCTTGAGGCAACTCAAATGCAGACTCAATTGACGCATTTCTCTCTCATCCCCTCCCCTGACCCCCTTCCACTGCCCCTGTCCTTGTTGCTCCGTTCCCCCTCCCTCCCCCACCACCCTCCACCCCTCCCTCCCAGCTACCGCGCTCGTCAGTAATGACGCAGTTTGGCAACCTGGTCATCATCTCATACGTCTTCATCTCGCTCACCGCCCTCGAAACCCTCATAGTCTACCTCATCGCCGAACGGGTCAGTCACCCCTGCCCTGCCCTGCCCTGCCCTGCCCTGCCCTGCCCTGCCCTGCCCTGCCCTGCCCTGCCCTGCCCTGCCCTGCCCTGCCCTGCCCTGCCCTGCCCTGCCCTGCCGAATCATCTGCTGGATCCAGGTCGAAACTTTATACGTATGCCTCCTTTGTGCCTTGCCTTGTTCGACGATTGCTTACGTGTGCCCTTTCTCTTTTCGTCACTGCACTTGCGTGCTTGCTGTTTGCCGCTCTCTGCCACCCTGTGCTGCTGTGTGCCACTCTGTGCTGCTGTGTGCCACTCTGTGCTGCTGTGTGCCACTCTGTGCCGCTCTGTGCCACTCTGTGCTGCTGTGTGCCGCTCTGTGCCGCTCTGTGCCGCTCTGTGCCGCTTTGTGCTGCTGTGTGCCGCTGTGTGCTGCTGTGTGCCGCTGTGTGCTGCTGTGTGCCGCTGTGTGCCGCTGTGTGCCGCTGTGTGCCGCTGTGTGCCGCTGTGTGCCGCTGTGTGCCGCTGTGTGCCGCTCTGTGCCGCTCTGTGCCGCTGTGTGCCGCTGTGTGCTGCTGTATGCCGCTGTGTGCCGCTGTGTGCTGCTGTGTGCCGCTGTGTGCCGCTGTGTGCCGCTGTGTGCCGCTGTGTGCCGCTGTGTGCCGCTGTGTGCCGCTGTGTGCCGCTGTGTTCGGCTGTGTGTCTGTGTGCGGCTTTGTGCGACTTTGTGCAGCTGGAGAAGGATGTGGTTGAGGCCATGGGGGACATGGCAGCAGCAGCCACACGCACCTCGTGGAGCTCCCGTGCTGAGCCAGAGGCCGAAAGCCCAGACAAGGTGGAGAGTACGTGTGCGAGTGTCCCCGGCAAGGCTGACGGTGCAGGGGAGGAGGGTCAGGAGCTGTGTCCGGTGGCGACAGATGGGGATGATGAGGAGGTGGGAGACACGAAGAGTGCAGCTGGCAGTGGAGGAGGAGAGAAGCTTCCAGTAGCCTGCCTGAACCCCGGAAAGCCGCCACTTCAGAGAGCGGAGGGCCCTACCTGGGTGAGTGGGCGTGTGTGTGCGTGGTAGGTGGGAGATGTGCTTGTTTGGTTGGTTATCCTTTTGATGCCAGGCATGTTGAGCTACGATGTGCTTTCTTGGGGGTGTTGACGCGCCCTGTGCATGGTCCCGTTGTTCGGTATGAGCCCAGTTGTGTGTTGTCCATTTCGATCATGCCTTGCTATTTTTATTTATTTGTTTTTTCATCGTATTCTCAGCCCAAATGGGTATACCCTGCAGCAACTTTTGAACGTGCGTGCTCATTTGTTGTGATATTCGCCTGATATTTCCTGTCTGTATCTTGATACAGAAATTCAGCCTCTTTGGGTACCACCTCAAGCCTATCGACGAGGAGCGTGAAAGAGAAGGCAACTACACTCTGGCAGCTAGAATTGACTTCGTGTGCTGTGTTCTCTTCTTCTTTGGCTACACTCTCACTGTCATTCTGCTCTACACTCTCTAGATGTGTGCATCCTTCTATTTTGGAACTTTATTGTGGCAGTCAAATTGTGACACGACTTTCAGAGGAGTGTGCAGTGCAGTCGTCATAGTGCAGTGCAGTCGCCATAGCATTTCACATCTCAAGTATACAGCACACTCGATAATATGGAATACATATGGTGTTCTAAACGGGAACAAGATACGCACAAGCGATCCAGTGTATAAGGGAGAGGAGGGTGGGAACTAGAGAAGTGAAAACTGCAAATGAGACTAGGTGGTAGGTCCCGAGGACCTGCCGAAAGGTAAAGGAGAATGTCTCCTTTACAGCAAACCCCTCTTCAAGTCGAACCACAATCTGTAAATTTTTTTGTTACAAAAAATTTCTCATATTGTGACACGACTTTCAGAGGAGTGTGCAGTGCAGTCGTCATAGGTCGAACGAGACATCAGGGGAGAGGTCGGCGGCGACCCCTCTCGAATGTGGTCAAGTACCGATCGGTCGGGCTAGATCGGAGAGGGTCCTGTAGTACGCGAGAGGCATCGACAAGCTCGCGATCGAGTTGTGTAATATATAGCTCCTTAGCCCTATCACTACGCCACCGACCAAGGGCTTTGAAGAGTCTGTCCAGCACTCCGACGTCGACAGCTACAGTTGCCGCCGATTTACGGAAGGAATGAGTGCCGAGGAGATCCGGGTTAAGGCCGACGCGGGCAAAGCCATCGCGGCACCAGCCCCGCACGGTAGCATACGAAGGGGAACGGTCGGAAGGGGAAGCCCCGGCACCCGGTTGGAACACGCGGATAAGAGGGCCGGTAGAATCTTGAGAGTAGCCCGCGAGGAAAAGAAACTGTTGGACACGAGAGACAGGGCAGTGGCGGGCAGAGGATGCTGCCACTGGGACCCAAGCACCTCTGCCGGCTTGGTCCGTCTTGGAGCGAGGAATAAATAGCCACATGCAGTCCCTGTCAAACTCGATCTGATGCCACTGGAGGGAAATCAGGTCAGAGAAGCGTAAGAAGGCCGAAAACATGAGAAGAGGGATCAGCCCCCGCTGGAATGTGGCCGGGTCGGATGACGAAAAATATATGTCGCAGATATCGTAGATTTTTTCTGGGGGTATAGGCTCTTTAGCCTTAGATGGTCGTCCGCAATGACGTTGTGCATACTCTTTCACTTGGCTAGAGAGTGGCCCGCGAACAGGAGACGGTTCGCCAACGAGCCAATGGGCGCACGAAATGGCGGAACATGTCGAACGGATAGCCGAAATAGGGGCGCCATTGCGGATCGAGTGCAGTAGGAATAACGCCGCGGTCAAATCACTTGAAGGAAGTAAAGGAAGAGCGTGCATGGTACAGAACGCGCGATATTGCCGCCAATATGGCTCGTACGTGCGAATTGTAGACTGAGCACGGAGATCGACGGTGAGCGTCAAGAGGTCCAAGAGCAGGAGGGCGAGCTGGTGACCTGCGTAACGAAAAGCATTAATTATTAGTGAATATTATTCGAAGGGCGTACATAGGAGAGTTAGGAAGTCCAGCCCCACTAAATGCCCAAGGATCACTTCCAACACACAAACAGTCGGAACCAGAGGCAAGACTAAGGGTTGCGGTGATATCACTAGCCCAACGGTCTGGGTGTAGAAGAGGCCACCAAAAGGCACTAGGCCAGCGAGGGATCACTAGGGTGAGGGAGGTTCTTGAGCGGCGAGCGTGGGCGAGAACGGCGGGAATAAGGGGTGGTGGTGGAAACGCGTAACAATTTTCCCCCAACCAACTAATTGAAAACGCATCCTGCGCGAGGGCCGCTCGCGAAAACTCCAGGGAGCAATAACGAGCCAGCTGTGCATTGGTGGGTGAGGCGAACAGGTCAATGGAATGAGGCCCCCAACGCCTCTCGAGCAAAAGGAACCAAGGACGCGCGAGAGAGTAGTCGTCGTGAAGTTCCAGTTTTGACAATGTATCAGCCTCGGTATTGAGCTCGCGCGGGATCCATTGGACCGTCAGTCGAATCTTGTGACGCACACAGAGCTGAATGATGGCCCGGCATACAATTGTCAGCTCGGAACGACGTGAGCCCCCTTTCCTCAAAATGTAATAGGCTGCCTGGCTGTCGCTGCGCAGAAGGATGTGGCAGCGCTGAACCTCGTCAGCAAAGGAGGAGAGGGCCCAGAGAATTCCCGCGAGTTTGCGAAGCGTGCTGGACGAGGCGACAAGAGCCTGAGGTAAGTGTGATGAAAGCGATCCGACGCGACCATCGGGTGCGGAATAGCAAGCCCCCCAAGCGCTGTCGCTCGCGTCCACATACATCACGATGTCGTATAGATATGGATTGTGAAAACACGAACCGTAGAACACATCGAACTGAGAGAGCCAAAAGCGCAACTCGTCAATTGACTCCGCGTTCAAGAGGACTGAGTCTCCCCAGGATGAGCAATCCGAGATTTGTGAAAGTAGATTGTGCGAAAAGGCACGCGCGAGGGTGCCGAGGGCGAGCGCCATAGAGGCAAGCATGCCAGTAATGCGAGCGACGCGTCGGACCGGGATGCGCCGCCCCCGCCCGCCAAGCGTGCAAGTCTGTTGGAGCTCGACAAGCAATCGCTCTCGTCGATCAGCGTCGACGGAGAAAGAGGTTGTGCGCGTGTCCAGTCTGAGTCCTAGGAATTTGAGGCACTGACTTGGCTCGAGCTGCGATTTTTTTTAGTTGACGACGAATCCGGCCGCTGTGAGGTCGGCCAAGATGATAGCTCGATTGCGAAGGGCCTCAGCTCGAGTGGCATTTATAAAAAGGATGTCGTCAACATATGGGATAAGTCGAATGCCTTTGCTGCGCCAGCGCTTTGCGAGCTGCTTGATTAGTTGGGTGAAGACAAACGGCGCAGTGGCCAGCCCAAAAGGCAGGGATAGGAACTGATAGCGTTGTCCTTGGAGGGTGAAACCAAGAAACCGCCAATATGCGGGGTGGATGTCCACATGGTGGTATCCGGCCTTCAGATCGATGGTGAATAGCCAATCGTCTCGATGCACCAAGTCGGGCACCCGGTTAAGGCCCTCGTAACGAAATCGTGGGACGGACAAGAATGTATTCACGTGTCGAAGGTCCAATATGAGCCTCTTTTTTGAAGGTTGGACGACTACATTTAAAGGGCTGACGCATGTGAGGGGTTCCGACGGGGGCACCATTCGGGCCGCTCCTGTCGCTAGTAGCTCGGTGACTGCCTCGACCGCAAATGCGGTAAATTGAATGGCACCCGAGTGGTTTGCCGCGTGGTGGGGAGTGGGCTCCGAGGATGCCCACGGAAGACGGTAGCCGGATGTGTCAGAACATTATAGCTCATGCATATTGTGTAGGCTATAGTGGGGTAGTCCATAAGGGGTACAACCCAATTAGGGTTAGTACTTGTACCCAATTCATTCATAGTTCATCTCATTCCTTGTTTCTTCTCATGGTATCGAGCATGTTCCCTAACGGGAACGATTCCTAGGGCCCACCACTACGAGTTTTTTTTCCTGCCCAAAGCGCGCTTCGCTCCGGCCCGAGTCGCGCCCGGTGTGCTCTCATCACCGTTGCGCCCTCACTAGGCCCCTCACGGCCCCCTAGCGCCGCCCTTAGCGGGCCCGTCGCACTGCCCTTCGCGGCCGCGTCGCGCCGCCCTTTCGCGGCCCCGTCGCGCCGCCCTTCGCGGCCGCGTCGCGCCGCCCTTTCGCGGCCCCGTCGCGCCGCCCCTTTCGCGGCCCCGTCGCCGCCCTACCTGCGGCCTCGTCGCCGCCCCTTTCGGCGGCTCCGTCGCCGCCCTACCTGCGGCCTCGTCGCCGCCCTACCTACGGCCCCGTCGCCGCCCTACCTGCGGCCCCGTCGCCGCCCTACCTGCGGCCCCGTCGCCGCCCTACCTGCGGCCCCGTCGTCGCCCTCCCCTGCAGCGGCCTCGGTGCCTACTCCTACAGCCCCGGCCCCTGCTCCTACGACCCCGGCGCCTACTCCTACGGCCCCGGCGCCACCCTTCCCGGCTCCGACGCCGCCTCCCACCGGCCCCTCCGCCGTCCCTGATCAGGAGCCGCAGCCGCCAAGCCGCCCAGCGACCGAGCCGCCGGGCCGCCGAACCGCCCAGCAGCCGAGCCGCCGGGCCACCGAGCCGCCCTGCTGCCGAGCCACCCGAGCCGCCGAGCCGCCCTGCCGCCGAGCCACTCGAGCCGCCCAGCAGCCGAGCCGCCCAGCAGCCGAGCCGCCCAGCAGCCGAGCCGCCCAGCAGCCGAGCCGCCCAGCCGCCGAGCAGCCCAGCAGCCGAGCCGCCGAGCCGCCGAGCAGCCGAGTCGCCGAGCCGCCCTGCAGCCGAGCCGCCCAGCCGCCGAGTCGCCGAGCCGCCCTGCAGCCGTGCCGCCCGAGCCGCCCTGTCCGGTAAGAGCAGCGCCTCTCTCACAGCACTGCCCTCACCCTACTGTTTGCGCTACTAGTCTACTGCTGTCATGGCTACCCCTAGTGTCCTCGCTTTTGACGCTGAGGGTCGGGCCATTGACTTTGAAGTCTGGATAGATGACCTGCAGCTTTTCTTACAGTGCGATAGGGCAGACGGCCTCTCCCTCTTTGACCTCACTTCTGGTGCCTCTCCTGCCCCCGCTGCTGATGCTGACGCCACTGTTCGCTCACAGTGGGCCACGCGCGATGCTGCTGCACGTCTTGCTGTGCGTCGCCACCTGCCTACCTCTGAGCGTGCGCACTTTAGCCAGTACAAGAGTGCTCAGACCTTGTACGACGCTGTAGTTGCACGCTACTCCTCCCCTGCCACTGCTGCACTGAGCCGCCTCATGCTACCGTACCTCTTCCCTGACCTTGCTGCCTTTCCCACAGTCGCTGACCTCATTACGCACCTCCGCACTAGTGACACTCGCTACCGCGCTGCGCTTCCTGCTGAGTTCTGCGCCAAGAACCCCCCCCCCATGTACATCACCCTCTACTACATAGTCACCCGTCTCCCTGACTCCCTTCGCGTAGTCAGGGACCACTTCCTCTCGGTTTGCCCCACCACT